GTTAGGTTTGGTTAGGTTTGGTTAGGTTAGGTTAGGTTAGGTTAGGTTTGGTTAGGTAGGGTTAGGTTAGGTTTGGTTAGGTTAGGTTAGGATTGGGTTTGGTTCAGGTTAGGTTAGGTTTGGTTAGGTTTGGTTAGGTTAGGTTAGGTTGGGTTTGAGTTAGGTTAGGTTAGGTTAGGTTGGTTAGGTTAGGTTAGGTTAGGTTGGGTTAGGTTGGGAATTTGGGTTGGGTTAGGTTAGGTTAGACATTGTTGGAATTCAAAGACATCACTAGAACCTAGACAACTGGAACTCTACGCACACACACACACACACACACACACACACACACACACACACACACAGTAAGGACAGAGACTATGTGCTGAACACATGTAAAAACATCGGTAGCACCATTTATTCTTTATTTATTACGACCACCAATAACAAGACGTAACACACCTGGAACATAGTATGAAGGAGTCCAGGTGAGGGTGAGGAGGAGGTGGAGAAGAGGAAGGGAGGAGTGGAGGAGGAGGGAGGTTAAGGAGGAGGAGGAGAGGAAGGAGGTGGAGGAAGAGGAGGAGGGAGGGAGGAGTGGAGGGAAGAAGAGGAGGAGGGAGGGAGGTGGAGGAAAGAGGAGGAGGAGGTTGGGAGGAGGAGGAGAGGAGGAAAGGGAGGAGTGGAGGAAGAGGAGGAGGAGGTGGAGGAGAGAGGAGGAGGGAGGAGTGGAGGAAGAGGAGGAGAAGGGTTAGGAGGAGGAGGAGGAAAGGAGGAGGAGGAGGAAAGGAGGTCGAGGAGGAGGGGGCCAGTTGAAGAGAGGTCGAGGAGGAGGAGGAGGAGGGGGTCGGGGAGGGAGGAGGAGGGTGGTCGAGGAGGAGGTCTCGGGAGGAGGAGGAGGAGGTGAGGTCGAGGAGGAGGAGGAGGAGGTCGAGGAGGAGGGCCGGATTGAAGAGTCGAGGAGGAGGAGGAGGAGGTCGAGGAGGAGGAGGGTCGAGAAAATAAGGTCTTCAAGGCACGGGGCCCGATAGGACAAATGGAAGTCAAAGCACGGGGCCCACTTCACTTCCAGTACTACACAAAATAAACTTACATGTCTTAAGAGAGTGATGGTATGGTGACTCAGGTTAATTGACAGGTGTGGGGGGTGTGGCTGCTAGTGTGGTAGGCTTTATGACCCAGGAGTGTAGCCATCAACTTACTGTGGTGGTGTGGCTGACGTGATGACCCAGGGGTGTGACACTTAAGGCGGTGCAGTGTGTGTGTGTGTGTGTGTGTGTGTGTGTGTGTGTGTGTGTACGATAACTTTACCACCTTTGAGTACAACGACTTTACTGTGAGCGGGTCAAGGTATCGTACTGGAGGCGTTAAAGATAAACATTTGTGTGTCACTAAAGGACTGACACACCGGGCACTAATGAGACTTACCTGGACTTACCTGTCAGCCTAATGAATCTCCCACACTTTTATAAACACAAGATTTATTTATTTTGTTTTTTTGTTTTGTTCTTCAGTATAAAGAAATGATATGAAAATAGTTTATATTTATATATTATCTTGTAAGCAGTGTGGTTCTGTGTTACGATCAGCATACACACAGGTAGATACTCTCTCTCTCTCTCTCTCTCTCTCTCTCTCTCTCTCTCTCTCTCTCTCTCTCTCTCTCTCTCTCTCTCACTGATGTAACAGAGAGAGAGCACATAGAGTTTAAACACACACCACAACACACCACAACACACCACAACACACCACACCACAACACAACCACAAGTATAATAGTCAAAACACTATACCTGCAGCCCCTTGAGGCCTAATAAACCACCTTTTAATTAGAACTAAAGTATATTAGATGGCAGCAGAAAGTATAATGAAGTATAATGGATATATTCAGGGACGAATGTAGAGTCTAATGGGATTATAATGCATGTAAGACGAGTGTAGAGAGTATAATGAAGTATAATTGATATATTTAGTCCTGAGGGCATAGAGTAGTGGCGTGGAGTGTTGTGCTTGATTACTGAGTGGTGCCACCTGCCGAGGGGGAGTTTTACCTTTAATTATAATCTGATGACAGTATTATAGGTGTGCGTGTGTGTGTGTGTGTGTGTGTGTGTGTGTGTGTGTGTGTGTGTGGCCGCTACCCCTACCTCACCTGGCCACTACCCCTACCCCTCACCTGGCCACTGCTACACAGCCACTACCCTACCCCCTCACCTGGCCTACCCCTACTCACCTGGCCACTACCCTACCTCACCCAGCACTACCCCTACCCCTCACCTATTTTCACCCCTACCCCTCACCTGTGAGCACCCCTACCTCACCTGGCCACTACCTACATACCTGTACACCCCTACCCCTCACCTAGCCACTACCCCTACCCCTCACCTGTACTACCCCTACCCCTCACCTGCCCCCATAAAGGTGTGTTTGTGCTTGAGTGTTAATAGAACACAGTTTTTTTTATAATGATGTGATGAACAGAGAGATGGGACGAGGTGACACGTATACGGCCTGTTAAACCTGACACCTGAACCACTACCCCTACTACTACCACTATCCCTACTACTACCCCTACTACTACTACTACCCCTACTACTACCACCCCTACTACTACCACTACCCATTCTACTACCCTTACTACTTACTACAACACACACACACACACACACACACACACACACACACACACATAACAATATAACCATTTTGTTCTATAATTCAGCTTCAGACATTTAGCCATTTAGACATTTATTGAAGTAAACATTTAAACACGTAGACATTTTAACAATAAGACATTTAGACAGGTAGGCACTAAGCCATTTAGACACGTAGACATTTAGACACGTAGACATTTAGACATTTACAAGCGTGATGTCTAACAGATTTGTCGGCTCATTAATCACACTTACCTGGATGCTTCCTACCTGGTCCGGCCCTTAGTGAACCTCACCTGTCTCTCACTACCTCTCACCACCTCTCACTACCTCTCACCACCTCTCACCACCTCTCACTACCTCTCTCTCAGGGCGTGGCCGCTGCAGGTGAACAGTCAGGCCAAGATTTCCAACCATGGTAACTAGTCAACCATGGTAACTAGTCAACCATGGTAACTAGTCAACCATGGCAACTAGTCAACCATGGCAACTAGTCAACCATGGTAACTAGTCAACCATGGCAACTAGTCAACCATGGCAACTAGTCAACCATGGCAACTAGTCAATCATGGTAACTAGTCAACCATGGCAACTAGTCAACCATGGTAACTAGTCAACCATGGCAACTAGTCAACCATGGCAACTAGTCAACCATGGTAACTAGTCAACCATGGTAACTAGTCAACCATGGCAACTAGTCAACCATGGTAACTAGTCAACCATGGCCACTAGTCAACCATGGTAACTAGTCAACCATGGTAACTAGTCAACCATGGTAACTAGTCAACCATGGTAACTAGTATGTCAACACCATGTCAGCAACTCAATCACGTGTGTGTGGTGGGGGGGGGCAGCAACACTCACAACCTTTCATTATAACAACACTAAAACGCTAAGTCATGTCATAGATAAAATGCCAACAACAACAACAACAACAACAACAACAACAACAACAAATAAGGTTATACACACCAAATTATATACAAACAAAAAGTTATATACATTACTACTTTGGTAATATTTCTGAGTCTTGTGTATATATAAAAAAAGTATTCTCCGTGTTAGTATCTTAGTGTTTTGTAAGTAAAGATAAGACTTAACACACAAACGGACACTATTTAAAGATTCCAGTATAATGTTGTGGAAATCGGACTCAACGCTCCACTGTGTAGGGTCGTGTTCAAGTCGTTTATCAGAGAACCTGTTTGACGTAGGTAATTGGTCAGGTGTGACATGTTGCCGTAGGTATTTTGGTCAGGTGTGATGTGACATGTTACCGCAGGTATTTTGGTCAGGTGTGACATGTTGCCGCAGGTATTTTGGTCAGGTGTGATGTGACATGTTGCCGCAGGTATTTTGGTCAGGTGTGATGTGACATGTTGCCGCAGGTATTTTGGTCAGGTGTGATGTGACATGTTGCCGCAGGTATTTTGGTCAGGTGTGATGTGACATGTTGCCGCAGGTATTTATTCAGGTGTGACATATTCCCGCAGGTAGCTACTTGGCCAGGTACTACATATCCCCGCAGGTAGTTACTTGGCCAGGTGAGACATGGCGCCTCTCCTCCTACCTCAAGACAATACTAAAAAGTCATTATCCCTTTGTGACGGTGTGACGGACAGATGACAGGGAGCCGCTCCTTAAGTAACACTCTGACCTATATTAGGGAGCCCGGAGCCTTGTATAACACACCTCAGTCATAACAAGTGGGTGAATAACCTAGAACTATAGGGTTGTAAGTAAGACGTGAGAGGGAAGGAAAGGATGTGAAGGATGTGAAGGAAGTGAAGGAAGTGAATAATGAAGGAAGTGAAGGAAGTGAAGGAAGTGAATAATGAAGGAAGTGAAGGAAGTGAATAATGATGGAAGTGAAGGAAGTGAAGGAAGTGAATAATGATGGAAGTGAAGGAAGTGAAGGAAGTGAATAATGAAGGTGTTTGATTAATCCCTTGAGTACGATGATTTTTAACCCCTTGAGTACGATGATTTTAACCCCTTGAGTACGATGAACTAACTACTTAAGTGTGTAGCGTGTTGTATGTAAGTGTGTGGTAGGTGTGTGGTAGGTAAGTGTGTGGTAGGTGTGTGGTAGGTGTGTGGTAGGTAAGTGTGTAGTGTGGTTCTAGGCGAGTGTGTTACGTCACGGCTCAGTTGGTCAGATATTCAGGTTAGGTCACAGACTACCAGATTAATAATGGAGACCAGGTGAAGCTGTATCGAGACCAAGTGAAGCTGTATCGAGACCAAGTGAAGCTGTATCGAGACCAAGTGAAGCTGTATCGAGACCAAGTGAAGCTGTATCGAGACCAAGTGAAGCTGTATCGAGACCAAGTGAAGCTGTATCGAGACTGTATTAGCTGAAGCTGTATGAAGCTGAGACCAAGTGAAGCTGTATCGAGACCAAGTGAAGCTGTATCGAGACCAAGCTGTAAGCTGTATCTGTATCAAGACCAAGTGAAGCTGTATCGAGACCAAGTGAAGCTGTATCGAGACCAAGTGAAGCTGTATCGAGACTTAGTGAAGCTGTATCGAGACCAAGTGAAGCTGTATCGAGACCAAGTGAAGCTGTATCGAGACCAAGTGAAGCTGTATCGAGACCAAGTGAAGCTGTATCGAGACCAAGTGAAGCTGTATCGAGACCAAGTGAAGCTGTATCGAGAAGTGAAGCTGTATCGAGACCAAGTGAAGCTGTATCGAGACCAAGTGAAGCTGTATCGAGACCAAGTGAAGCTGTATCGAGACCAAGTGAAGCTGTATCGAGACCAAGTGAAGCTGTATCGAGACCAGAGACCGGAACAGGGTGTAAATAATAATATAATAATAATAAACGGTTTATTGAAAAGTTTGCAACCCAAGGCTGAAAATATACATTGGACATAAATGACTGTGTGTGTGTGTGTGTGTGTGTGTGTGTGTGTGTGTGTGTGTGTGTGTGTGTGTGACGTACTCCTAAAATACCAAAAAAATAATAAAAAAAATTCCAATTGGTATTATTTCTAAACGCCGAAAACACCAAGACCTCGGTGTGGTAGGAAGATGTAGTAGTAGTAGTAGGAGGAATGAGAACGACAAGAGAAGGGCATACGGGGAGAGAATTCAAAGCGTTGATCAGAGCAGCTTCACTCCTCTGGTGTTCACAACCTCTGGTGGGATGGGACCAAGTGCAAGATGCTTCTACGCCAGACTCGCGGAGGTGATCTCCGAACAGAAGCAACAGCCTGGATGAGATGTCGACTGTCATTCTCTCTCCTTAGGTCGGCTTTGCTCTGCCTCAAGGGAACGAGAGCATCGGCCCCAAAGCCGACAACAGTTGCAGATATTGACTATGAGGCAACAGTCACTAAATGCCGCATAGATCTGTGGCTCAACTAACTCAAAACAACTAGGGTAGCTACTTATGTATTAGGATATTTAATTTTATAATAGTAGTAATAGTAGTAGTAGTAGTAATTAAGTGTTCTTCGCCAGGTATAGTAGAGTCGTGTTACCTGAGAGTGATACTACCTACCTGGGCTGACGGTTCATATCTGCCTGCATCACACACACACACAGGGGGAGGGGGGCTACCTGGCATCAACAGCTGACCTTCCACCATGTTACAACCATAGATCAAGCGCTCACCTGAAGATTAACCCCACCAAGCTTATTTCACCTGAAGATTAACCCCACCAAGCTTATTTCACCTGAAGATTAACCCCACCAAGCTTATTTAACCTGAAGATTAACCATCCGAACTCTAACCTAACCAGACCGTAGGGGTGTATGTAGGTATGCAGGTGTATGTAGGGTGTGTAGGGTGTAAGGTGTAGCTGGGTGGGTGTAGGGAGGATGATTGATAGGGTGTCTGTGGCCCGTAGTATGTTGTAGAGTGAGGGTCGCAACATGGTCACAGTCCAGCCTTATCGACCTTATTTGGCGTGTGTTGACCATAGCTGTGTGTACTCTGGTTTAGACCTTCATTTCCTTCTTCCTCTCCTCCTCCTCTTCCTCTCCTCCTTCTCTTCCTCTCCTCCTCCTCTTCCTCTCCTCCTCCTCTTCCTCTCCTCCTCCTCTTTTTTCTCCTGCACATTCCCTAATTATATAACTTTTATCATCTGTTGACTGTGTATTATCTGCCTTATTATTGTTATTATTATTATTCTCTGTTGACTTTGTATTATCTGCCTTATTATTGTTATTATTATTATTGCTCTCTCTCTCTCTCTCTCTCTCTCTCTCTCTCTCTCTCTCTCTCTCTCTCTCTCTCTCTCTCTCTCTCTCTCTCTCTCTCTCTCACACAGTACTCGGTTCCTGTCCTAAGGGTCGGTGGTTCTCGCCCGGGACACAGACAGTTGACACAGGTGTTAGGAAAATGTTGGCCTCCTTGTACACCGAAGACTCAGTATGCCGTGTGCTGTATCCACACTGCCCCTAACCGGCCGCCGTGACGCTGGGACTAACTTCCATCCTAGTCGCTGAGGATGATGGCCATATGACGTCACACATGAGGGCGACATGAAACAGTGTTCTTATCTTAGAAAAAAAAAGTTAATTAAATTAGGTGAATATATCATACCTGACGTCACTGTTATAATGAACAGGAGAACAAACACCACCGAGACAGGTTTCAGTTGAGAGAAGATGACTGAAGAACACACATCCCGCCCCGCCCCGCCCCGCCAGGCCCTCTCTTATCTCACAAAACTGTCAGCTGACAGAACACTCACACCGCCCCCAGGTGTACAACCTCACCTGCCACCTGCTGCCACTAATTATTTTTTTAAGAAGTTTGTATCTATATATAATCCATTCCTCCCTTCCTCCTCTCCTTCCCTCCCTCCCTCCCTCCTCCCTCCTCCCTCCCTCCTCCTCCCTCCCTCCCTCCCTCCCTCCCTCCTCCCCTCCCTCCTCCTCCCCCTATAGCTTCTTAACGTGATCACAAAGGTCATTACTATACAGTGTGTGTCTAAGTATTATTCTATCTGTGATGTTCTCTCTAGCACTGTACTATACACCTTTATGTAATGTATACTGCTGTACTACTATAAGATGTACTACTATAAGATGTACTCAGATGTACTCCTCCACCACAGGGGACAGTTCGCCGTGGTCTACCACTGCCAACACAGAGTTACGGGGGAGGAATACGCCGCCAAGTTCTCCTCTCGCTTGCGTCTGGGAGCTGACTGTACCTCGGACATCCTTCACGAGGTGGCGGTGTGTGCCATGTTGAGGCCAGCCCACAGGACGATACAGCTACGAGACGTGTTCAGTACCGAGAGTGAACTGGTACTGGTCATGGAGTAGTGAGTACTATTGTTGTTGTTGTTGAGTACTAGTCATGGAGTAGTGAGTACCTCTTGTTGTTGAGTACTATTGTATTAGAATGTATAACTGCTCTATTATACAATTAAAATCATTTGTGTAGTTATGAAGTAGGTATTATGTTTACCTCTGAGGTGACGTGGATGGATGGGTGGAGGGAGGCAAGAAAGAGGAGAAAGATGAAGGGAGAGAGAAAGAGAGAGGAAGAAAGGAAAAAACACAAAGCTACAGGGTCAGTATACACACCAGGTGATCAATTAGTCAGGGTCAAAGGTCACCTCACCACAACTGATCACCTTTCATCGTGTGTGTGTGTGTGTGTGTGTGTGTGTGTGTGTGTGTGTGTGTGTGTGTGTGTGTGTGTGTGTGTGTGTGTGTGTGTGTGTGTGTACAGGTGACGACGTAGTGTTGATTGTAGTGCTCACCTGTGTCTCTCAGCTGCATACCTGTTGTTATGATCGTTCTTTAGCGCTACAGGGTGAAGGGTATCGACATTCTATCATTCCACAGTAGATAAATGATAGACTTAAGGAGTATAAATAACTTAGACACAACAGAAAGTGAAGGTATCTCGTGAGTCCTGAGGTGAATGTCTGTAAAACTCTCAAGGTTGTTTTGTTTAATAATATCAAGATAAAAATAAGAAATATCCGGGTGTATAAATGGTCAATGTGGTGAGTGTGTTGAGTACTCTGCCTTACCAAACAGCCAGGCATTAGTGTCGTAAAATTTGCTCTCTCGGTGGTAAAGAAATTAAGGAATGTGTGGCATGTTAAGCGGGGTAATGGCAGCAGCACCCTGCACCGTCCACCTCGCCTCGCCCTGCCTCGCCTTACCTCGCCCCTCCTTACCTCGCCTCGCCGCCCTGTGAACCCAAAGCTGTTGTGTTGGTCGTGTGCACCCTCCCTCCCCTTACCACAGCAGCTCTCCCCAATAAATCAAGGTAAATAACACACATTGTCCCCGAGTGAAGGTTCACAAGTGTAGATGACAGAGTCGAGGGCCTAGATGAAGGGGCGAGTGTGTGTGTTTGTGGTCCTTCCCCCCCGGCCGCTATCACCACCAACCACCACCAATTACTGTCTCCTGTTGCCTACTAGTTGACACACACACACACACACACACACACGGGGTCAACTCCCGCTGTCGTGTCTCCCAAACGTTCTTTAAGGTTCTTCTTTTATCACATTTCACGCATTTTATAAAGTGAGTTTATTGCTTTAGCTGTGCGTGCGTGCGTGCGTGTGTGTGTGTGTGTGTGTGTGTGTGTGTGTGTGTGTGTGTGTGTGTGTGTGTGTGTGTGTGTGTGTGTGTGTGTGTGTGTGTGTGTGTGTTACCCAGATCTTCCCACAGTTTAGTATACATAGACCGTCTCCCTGGTGCTCTTAACCCGAAGACTCGAAGACTTAACAAGAGATCAAAGTTGTTTTAGTGAGTTTGTTCATTAGTTAACGATATAGTTCACTAATTAACAGGTATTTCATTAATGTTTGGTTACTGGAGCAATATATTGATCAGTCTTCACTTTAAGATGACTTTTGTTCTTGTTATCTAAATCAGTGTTGTGACGAGGCTTTATCACCTGTAGTTATTGTTGTTGTTTTGTCGCTGTTTTTGTTGTTGTTGTTGTTGAGGTGATCAGCTGTCAGGAAGGAAGGGGTTGTACCGTCAGCGTCAACCTCTACATAAGACACTTGATGAGGCAGGTCATAAGGTCACTCAGTATAAGGTAAAGTCAATAGCCAAGATATATATTATGAATCTTACGCCCCCCTTACCTAGAGGTGAGTGTCAACAAACTACCATTGTCTTGCCTCCGGTTATCAGGTAACTACAACACCTGACTGAGGAAAAGATTGTGATCAGTGGTCCGTATATTTGAACACTATATTGACCCGAGTGAAGTGTGTGTGTGTGTGTGTGGAAAGGTAGATTAAGTCAGTAAGTGGATCAGTCAGTCAGTCAAGGTAAGCATCCATAGAGCTGACTGGAGGACACATGGACCTTGGTGCGGGATATTTAAATCTACGGGACCTGAACACCATGGTCCAGTTAATGGTCCAGGTAATGATGGTGGTCCAAGTATTGGTCCAAGTAATGGCCCAAACAGCCAAGCGGTCCATCAATGATCGTTTGGTTCAAGGGATAGACAAATCTAGACATTATCCCCTCATGCATTAGAGCCAAGATAGTTTACCCTCCATGTGTACTGCCCGACACACACAGGTTACTTGGTCACGGTGTAAGAGAGGCTCCTCCTCCTCCTCCTCTTCCTTCTTCTCTTCCTCCTCTTTCTTCTTCTCTTCCTCCCCCTCTCCCTTCTTCTCTTCCTCCTCCTCCTCTTCCCCCTCTCCTCCTCCTCCTCCTCCTCCTCCTCCTCCTCCTCCTCCTCCTCCTCCTCCTCCTCCTCCTCCTCCTCCTCCTCCTCCTCCTCCTCTTTTTCCTCCTCCTCCTCCTCCTGCTCTTCCTCCTTCCTCCTATTGGGTGATACGAAACGTCTTAACGTGTGTCTTTAGTAGTAGAGAACAAGGGTAGAGAGAGAGAGAGAGAGAGAGAGAGAGAGAGACAGGAGGGGACACACAGTGGCCTGGGGTCCTGGATTTATCAGGCAGTGTCGCGTCGCTGTCTTTACTTGGGAAGAACCACTACCTCTACCGCCACCTACCACCACTACCACCACACACCTTCCCACCATCACCCCCACCATCACCACCATCACCACCCACATCACCCCACCATCACCCCCACCATCACCACCCACCATCACCCTCACCCCCACCATCACCCCCACCATCACCCCCCCACCATCACCCCCCACCATCACCCCCCCACCATCACCCCCACCATCACCCCCACCATCACCCCCACCATCACCCCCCCACCATCACCCCCACCATCACCACCCACCATCACCCCCACCATCACCATCTACCCCCACCATCCCCCCACCATCCTCCACCCACCATCACCCCCCACCATCACCCCCCACCATCACCCCCACCATCACCCCCACCATCACCACCCACCATCACCCCCACCATCACCACCCACCATCACCCCACCATCACCCACCATACCCACCATCCTACCCACCATCACCACCCACCATCACCCCCACCATCACCCCCCCACCATCACCCCCCCACCATCACCACCCCAGGCCACAGATGCCAACAGCTCACCACCACCCCATTACCTGCCAGAGAGCCACTGTTGCCAAAGGAAGAACAATCACCAATTGGTCACACTGTTTGGATCTTCGTATACAAGGAGGTGAAAAATTCGCTAAAAATAACAAAATATTTATACTTCTGGATGCAAACAATTTATCTTTGTTTATTGTTAACGTATGAATGTATAACAACACTCAATAATCCTACAGCTATATTTTGTCATTAATGGTCTATGAACTATGGTTGGATAAAGGTGTGTTATCCATGTACCGATATCCAGGTATAATACAATATAAATTTATCCATATCTCTTACCTCACCTACCTACACCTCTCTCTCTCTCTCTCTCTCTCTCTCTCTCTCTCTCTCTCTCTCTCTCTCTCTCTCTCTCTCTCTCTCTCTCTCTCTCTCTCCGCCAAACGACTCCAGTTATATCCAGGAGTCTTACTACAGGTGTTCTCAGGACAGGTGAGCAATTAGGCAGGTAATGAGTTAAGTGGGTGTCGTGTTGCTCACCTGTACAACCCCTTCGTGTTAACTGTGTTGTGGTGGTAGTTGTTGATTGTGGGGTGGGAATTGGTGTGGTTGTTAAGTAATTGTGCTCAAAGGGATTAAGTCATCATAGTCGAAGGTTAGGTTAGGTTAGGTTAGGTTAGGAGAAACGAGGAAGGAAGGAGGGAGAAGAGACGGGAATAAGAAGGATGAAGGAAGATAGAAGGATGGGGGAGGAAGATATAAGATGGAAGGAAGGAAGATAGAATGAAGGAAGGAAGGAAGGAGGGAGGAAGGAAGGAAGGAAGGAAGGAAGGAAGATAGAAGGAAGGAAGGACAGAAGGAACAGACAGAGAGTGACAGTGATCGCCTTATCCTCTCTCTAATCTAATTAAATCAAGCGGTCGTGTTACCTGGCGGTGGTGTCAGGGTTTCAGCTCACCTGTGGCTGATACCTGTAATTAGGAGGCGTGTTACTCCCTCTGCCCGGTGTACCCCCCCCCCTCACCTGGCCTTCGTGTGAGGGGTGAGGGGGGTAGTGAAGGGTCAGGGAGAAGGGAGCAGGAGTGAGGGATTAGGGGTGAGGGAGGGGTGAGGGGGTGCAGGAGGAGGGGGAGAGGTTAGGGAGGAGGTAGAACACCTGCACTGGTCATCGCTAGAGGCCGGTAAACATATGTAACGGACCAACACCTGTGGCACTTAAACACCTGTGATGGCTCAACCTATGTGTCAGAGCAACACCTATGATCTAAGCTAACACCTGTGGCGATGAAACACCTATGTTTGATTAATACCTGTAGCCGGGCAACACCTGTAACCATTAAACACCTGTATTGGCTCACCTGTCGCTGTGAATCAACACCTGTAGTGGGGGACCTTATGTGGTAATCAGCACTTATGGTGGTGTGAGAGTTAACATGGGTGAGTGAAAGTGTTGGTGGCGGTACAAATGGAAAACAATTGGTTGTGTGTGTGTGTGTGTGTGTGTGTATGTGTGTGTGTGTGTGTGTGTGTGTTTGTGTGTGTGTGTGTGTGTGTGTGTGTGTGTGTGTGTGTGTGTGTGTGTGTGTGTGTGTGTGTGTGTGTGTATTTTCTTCATATATCTTCTATTCTCTACATTTATTCATTATTTCCTTATTTATTCCCTTCTGTCACCATCTTCCTCCTACACTGAAACGTCTTAAAAAAAACATCTGGAAGTGTAAACATCTTTGTCCAGGGCCGTTTACTCACACACACCTGACTCACACACACACTCACACACACACCTGACCTCTGTTATATAAAAGTATTGATAGTTTTAACCATATTATACTTTCATCGTTCATTTCTCACCTGTAAACATTACCTGTGTGTTAGTTTGTCTTTTTCGTAATTATTTCTGGCAGTGTTTATAAGAATGATTGCTGAGGCTGTTTACTGACCTGACCTGACCCTCTCTAACCCTCCCTTACACTTCCTGACACTGCGTGACACTTCCTGACACTGCCTGACACTCCTTAATACTCAATAATCCTCCTCTGCCCTCCCTGACACTCGCTGACACTCCCTGACACTCACTGACACTCGCTGACACTCCCTGACACTGCCTGACACTCGCTGACACTCCCTGACACTCACTGATACTCCCTGACACTCGCTGACACTCTCTGACACTCCCTGACGCTGCCTGACACTCGCTGACACTCCCAGACATTGCCTGACACTCAGTGACACTGCCTGACACTCGCTGACACTGCCTAACACTGCCTGACACTGTCTGACACTGCCTGACACTGTCTGACACTGCCTGACACTACCTGACACTCGCTGACACTGCCTGACACTGTCTGACACTGCCTGACACTGTCTGACACTGCCTGACACTACCTGACACTCGCTGACACTGCCTGACACTGTCTGACACTCGCTGACACTGCCTGACACTGCCTAACACTCGTTGACACCTTGTTTATCCCGTTACCACCACCCCGGCCAGCCATTGTGTTCACAACGCTGTCACCACTGTCACCCGTCCAGCCTCCCAGGTGAAGGTGACAGTCGTGGCCGCTGTAAGATGTGTGTGTGTGTGTGTGTGTGTCGAGGAGGACGTCTGGTTGTTGGAGTGGCGCTTGGACGTTATACTTGTCTTGTGGTCCCCCGGCCGTCACGACGTGAGGCGGGCAGCGTCGAGTGATGGTAAATTAATTGACACTTGAGAGAAGGTGAGAGCAGACCTCCCCGGCAGGTTATGGCAGCCTTGACGTGATGTGGTAAATAATATGGTGTACCTCGCTGGGTGACGAGGGAAAGTGTTGTGGCAGTTTATTTATCGTTGTAAACTTTATGAGGCTGATGTCACCGAGGGATATAGAGTTAGAGGAAGAACGACCATTATAAACACTTGTATGATGAAGGTTTTAAACTAAGCTGGTTAACACACCTGGCTGCTTCTGGTCAGGTGTGTGGTACCTTACATTACCTGTGTCAGGTGTGTGGTACCATACATTACCTGTGTCAGGTGTGTGGTACCTTACATTACCTGTGTCAGGTGTGTGGTATTTTACATTACCTGTATCAGGTGTGTAGTACCTTACATTACTTGTGTCAGGTGTGTGGTACCTTACATTACTTGTGTCAGGTGTGTGGTACCTTACATTACCTGTGTCAGGTGTGTGGTACCTTACATTACCTGTGTCAGGTGTGTGGTACCTTACACTACCTGTGTCAGATGTGTGGTACGTGTGTGTGGTTCTCCCGGTTGAGTTATTACCTTACCATGGACACTGTTACTGCGCTAACCTCCTTGGTGGTGAAGTCAGGGTGGATGGTGAGGTGAGGAGGGAGGAAGAGAAGAAGGGGAGGAGGAGGAGGTAAGGTGGGAAGAGAAGCAGGAGGAGGAGGAGGAGGTAGAGAAGGTGAGGAGGACACCATGGTATACAACAGGTGTATGAACACAGGTGACAGCGGCGCCCTTTGATAACACCATAAATATTTACACCACACAACCACTCTGCGTTTACCGCTCGCTAATGTTATATATAAATACATACATATGTTATAAAACAGTCGTATATTATATAATTAAATACATACCTATAGTGATAAATGGTTCAGGTAATATTAAAGGTGATAGTATTAATTAGAGTCTCTGTGTCGTGTTTATTATTAGTGAAGGCAGGTGTAAGGTGCAAAGTCTGGCTCCTGGTACATAAACTTGGCTACAGGTACACACTTATACTGAGGCCTGCGATACACTTATGCTACTCTCTCTCTCTCTCTCTCTCTCTCTCTCTCTCTCTCTCTCTCTCTCTCTCTCTCTCTCTCTCTCTCTCTCTCCACATTGTTACAAAAATAGTAAGACAAATACTTTTCTGAGGCCCATTTGAGTTGCAGGTTTGGTGAGTGTGTGGGAGTTGTAAGATTATAAGAGTGTTTAGTTGAATCATTCGTGTATATATTACAAAACAAAGACACACACACACACACACACACACGCACACATGGTCGTAACCTCAGTGGTAAAACGTTCAGGTCGAGACCCTTATTTAAGAGGTCAAGTCTCTCTCTCTCTCTCTCTCTCTCTCTCTTGGTAACTTTTCACTCACCTCAAACTTTAAGGAAATAATCAAATTAAACTTTCTTGATTTTGAAATATTTATTGTTGTTGTTCACTGGTCCTGTGGTGGTGGTGTGAGGTGACTTATTTATTGTACTGAAATTTTATATGTTATATTATGTTCTTTCCTACAAGACCTACACACAGTATTAACAGGTGTTCTCCTCCACACAGTGCGGCAGGGGGTGACCTACAGACCCTGCTGGACCAAGACATGGTACCGTATGAACGTGACGTCATCAGCTTCACGCGACAGCTCCTTGAGGGACTGGTGTTTATCCACGACCGTAACCTTGTTCATCTAGACATAAAGGTAAGTCTCATGTTCTTACCTGTAATTAGAACCAGGTGTTAGAGAGGCTGTTCTTACCTGTAATTAGAACCAGGTGTTAGAGAGGGCCTGTTCTTACCTGTAATTAGAACCAGGTGTTAGAGGGTCTTAATGAATGATATATTAACAGGTTTGGATGAGGAAGAACTTATAAATTGACCAGTTTGTTGTTATAGCTAATTGTAAATATAACAAATTAATTATGTAACTTGCACTGTGTCACTAGGAATTTGTTGTGTCTACAGTAGTGCATTAAGATAGAAAAAAATATATCAGTGAGCATGGATATAAATGTTAGTGTTTACTGAGGGCATTTGAGTATTAAATCCTGTGTTGACGATCTTAAGTCAACACAGAGGGATTCCAACACCACACAGACCTTCGACTTGATGCAAAAAATTACATAAAGTTTTCATGTTTATGGGTCGATACAAATGAGGTTTATGTCTTGGTTTAAAGGTGGAATTATTAATAACAAGCTGATTAAAAGGCCGCCAGAGGTGTAGGGGGGAGAGGTGAGGTGGTGTCGGGCGGACCTAGGAGTGATGGAAGGGCCTAGGAGTGACGGGAGGGTCCTAGGAGTAACGGGAGGGCCCTAGGAGTGACGGGGGGATCCTAGGAGTGATGGGAGGACCGTAAGAGTGACAAAAAGGAATTAGGATTGACGGAAGAGCATTAGGAGTGACGAGATGGTCCCAGGAGTGACGGTAGGGCCCTAGGAGTGACAGGAGGACCTGTCGTGAGGGGGATGGAGGAGAGAATGTACGCTCGCCAACAAGTCCTGTAAGGTGTCTGGATCTCTGGACTCGTGAAGAGGCAGTGAGGCGACAGGCCTTTTATTGACGAGTGTCTACGTGCCTCGCCATCACCCTCCTTCAGTATTGACACCCGCCGTACACACAGTCAGATCAACACCGGAGAGAAATCGTAAACATTGACACTCACACTCTGCTGGGGTGATACAGCTAATATATTGATGGCTGAGAAGGAGGTCTTTTAAAACATTATAGGAATTTAAATGTTGACTCTCTGAAGAATAAAATCTTTTAAAGTCATTGGAGATATTAAGATGAGTTTATGGCATTTAAATTTATATATGTCATGGGGATATATTAGTTATTTTAAGAAATCTGATTTGACTGTTAACTGGAAGAAAATTAATCCCAAACTCCACACTTGGTAAACAACTTGTCCTCTGATGCTGACATAAACATGGGGGTCAATAATATTTAGCGAAGGAAAGATACTGGAACAAACACCACAAGTAAAATCTTTTAAAACACGTTCATCTGAGGCACTTGAACGCCCTGGTCTGTGCTGATGAGTGAGTGAGGGAAGCGTGTAGTAATAGTTCTGGCACAAGCATTATGGTCGTTCATGTTACCAGCACAATTCTAACCAGAGATTGTTATGTTTTTGTTGTTTATTTTGTATTTGTCACAGGTTTACGCTCACCAGCTAGTAGGGGTCAGTATTCACCGCTCACCTGGACAGACAGCATACACCTTTAGATAATGAAGGCGATATAAACATACACCTTTGGATTTTAAGAGGATTCGACACCTGAGTTCATTTCTCCTGTTAAGAATCTCAGTTCCATTTGTCTTCGTTATATTGTCTTGTCTGGGTCTGTGTTACGGCTGTCTTCACTCTTAATCTTGTCTTCAACGCCTCCACCTGCTCCACTTGTCTCCTTCCTCTCCGTCTCTCTCGCCTCCACCTGCTCCACTTGTCTCCTCCCTCTCCGTCTCTCTCGCCTCTCCATTCCGCCACTCCTATCTGCCTCTCCCTTCCTTCTTTCATCCTATTCCCTCCACCTTTTCCTCTCTTTTCCTCCTCTCTTCCACCTCCCCCTCTTCTTCATTCTGCCTCTCTCCTCCGCCTCTCCCCTCCCCCTCTCCCCTCCGCCTCTCCCCTCCGCCTCTCCCCTTCGCCTCTCCCCTTCCATCACCGAGCCATAAGTCACCCAACACTCAACCTCGGCAGCACCACACGTAAACAACAGTCTCTCCCTCAACTGCCATTCACTATTTTCCTCGCTGAGTCCACCTAATTGAAAGCCCCGGCGATACAGAGAGCCCCCCCACCCCTCCTGTACATAAAGGCGACACTCACTTAACTCACTACTCGAACTATGGATCTTATGTGTACGTGGTGTGGTGTAGCTCCCCCTTCCCCCCTCCTTGCTTGGGTTAATTCAGGATAGCTTGAGTAAGTGAACTGTAGGAGCGAGACATCTGTTAGTGCTGGTTTCTTTAGCTGTGTTAGTATTGCATCACTAACTGTGGATTATGACTGGGACGGTTATACCTACGCCACACCACCAATGGGAAGTATCCGTTACACCTGTCGTTTTAGGGTAATTACCTCTCGTCTCAGGGTGCTTCTCCCCCGCAGGTAAAAGAGATAAAAATACGTCACCACTGGCCCCCGTGTTTACAGTAAGCTGGTCATTGACGGACCATCTCCACAGATCTTTCTCGTCTTAAAGTGACATAAAATTATACTCCCAGCGGCCAGTTACCCTCATTAATCTTCATTTACACGACACAGTGTTTTGTGGTGGGGAGACAGGTGAGTGGTGGGGAGACGGGTGGGGAGACAGGTGGGGAGACGGGTGGGGAGACGGGTGAGTGGTGGGGAGACGGGTGGGGAGACAGGTGAGTGGTGGGGAGACAAGTGGGAAGACAGAGACGGGTGGGGAGACAGGTGGGGAGACGGGTGAGTGGTGGGGAGACAGGTGGGGAGACAGGTGAGTGGTGGGGAGACAGGTGGGGAGACGACAGGTGGGGAGACAGGTGGGGAGACGGTGAGTGGTGGGGAGACAGGTGGGAGACGGGTGAGTGGTGGGGGAGACAGGTGAGTGGTGGGGAGACAGGTGGGGAGACGGGTGAGTGGTGGGGAGACAGGTGGGGAGACGGGTGAGTGGTGGGGAGACAGTGACCTTTGATGATAAACCCACACATAAACACAGGTCGGTAACTCAACCTGTATATATATATTCATTCTCAGGTTGCTACACTTACGATAAATAAACAGGACCATTTATATCAGTATAATTTAGAGGCTGATAACTCCCTCATAACCTCAGTTACTCTGCTGTTATCTTAACCGTGTGTGTGTGTGGTCAGCATGCTCGCCTCGCAAGCGAGTAGACCCGGGTTCGATCCCCGGGCAGGATGAAACTATGGGTAAGTTTTTTTTACGCCATTTGCCTCTGTCTACCCAGCAGTAATTGGGGACCCGGATGTTAATCGATTTACAGATCGTGTTCCGGGGTAATAGTTAGTCAGTGCAGTTGGCGAGTTGTCCGGTCTTCTCGGACTATTCCTTAACACTGGGTCATGCAACTCGTGTTATTGTTGTGTTGGCGACAGCTTCTACACCTTAAACAAATTCACACCGAGGTGGCCCTAGGGCCGGCCATCCTCGTTACATGAGGGGCAACCATTATTATTATTATGGTTGGGCAAGTCCCCCTCACACACCTTCCTCCCCTTCACTCCCCCACACACTTCTTCCTCCCAACACAGTGATGGTAGTGGTGATGGTGGTGTGTAGAAGTGTCCCCCCTTTTCATTCTTCTCCTCCTCCTCTTCCTTCTTCTCGTCCTGTTCCTCTTCTTCTTCTTCCTTCTCCTCATCATCAACATCCTCTCCTTCCTCCTCCCACACCTCGTCCTCCACCACCTGGGACTCACCTCTGCACCAGCTGCCTCACACGGCCACCTCAGCACCACCTGTCAACCCCGCGCTGATTTACAAGAGCTTTAAAACCTCTTCTGGGGAACTGATCTGTTGGCCAAGACTGTATCTCTCCCTGTCAGACACTCAGACAGTCTTTCTTGAGTGGTATACCAGTCTTTGTTCTCCTGACTGTCTTCTGATACTTCACCTAAATCTCACCTTTAAGTACCTGAACCATACTTACCATACTACCATACCTAACATCACAACAGAACCTGAAAATTAGTTCTCCACACACACACACACACACACACACACACACACACACACACACACACACACACACCAAGTCCTTCATTCTCCTCCTACGTCTCCGCCAGTCTCCCTCCCCTTGAAGACAGACACACCTGGAGGATGAACAATCGTCCTTACTCGAGGTGGAGATGGACCTTGGCCACTGGAGTCTCTAATGAGTGTCTGCTGGTGACTAGACAACCCACCAGAGTTAGAATAATGAAGACTTTATTTTTTATGGACGTAATTTGTGGAGAAATAATGTGATTAAAGAATTATAGAGAAATCTCCAGAATATTACATCAAAATATTTACATAATATCATCGACCACCAGACATCTTGGCGCCAAAGTATTGTTTTGGGTCGCTTGTACTGATAAACTTAATGACATGACAGAAAACGGGGAACTATTTCGGGAGAACTTCGTTATTAGAACCTGAGGGTGATGTTAGTAGCTTCACCAACACTCCCTCTCCAACACTCCCTCTCCTTCTCCAACAGCCACAGAACTTGGTGTTAATGGGAGAGTTTCCGGACTGCGCCGTCAAGTTGTGTGACTTTGAGATCTCCAGAGTGTTGACGCCTGGTAGGGAGGTGCGTGAGATACTGGGCACCCCGGACTATGTTGGTTAGTGGCTCTACCTTGTTTATATACCTGTGTGTGTATACCTGTATGTATATTTTGTTTATACACCTGTGTGTAAGTGTGTGTGTATGATTTTCAAGTCTATGTATTAGTCGATTATTTCCAGGCTGTATGAGTACGTATAGTGTATAGATTTAAGATTCGAGTGTGTATGATTATCTGGTTAGGATGTGTATGGGTGTGTATAATGTTATAAGTCTCTCTCTCTCTCTCTCTCTCTCTCTCTCTCTCTCTCTCTCTCTCTCTCTCTCTCTCTCTCTCTCTCTCTCATAACTAATCACCCCTTGGAGTCTACCCACAGCCCGTCTACCCACACTAGCCAGGACCGACCCATTATGCCGTGGCTGAGTGGTTATAGGACTGACCCACCAGGTGACCCCAAGCGTCCCTGGTTCATATCACCACTGAGGACGCCTTAACTGATTACATACTTGAGTTAATATCAGTGGTGTTGATTCTCCTCCACAGCTGGCTTAGTGTAAAAAACCCAGCTGGCTTAGTGTAAACAAACCCAGCTGGCTTAGTGTTAACAAACCCAGTTGGCTTATATTAACAAAGTACATATGTAATTAGTTTTTTCTCTTAAATTTCTGTTAAATTCTATATTTTTTTTCGATTATAGAGACGACTGATATATAATTTAAATGACTCTGTTTCTCTCAATAGCTCTGGTAATATTCCGTCAGATATATATATTATCTTTTAAGTTGCCGGATGATATATTACCTATTTTACATTATAGTAGAGGATAGATATATTGTGTTTTAATATGGCTCCTGTGTCTATTAGCGTTAGGTTAGGTTAGTTTAGGTCAGAGATGAGATTTCTCTATTAAATTATCCATTAGATATTTAATCGATCCAGTAATGGGGAAGGGGTATTTAAATCATCCAGGTAATGGGGAAGGGGTATTTAAATCGTCCAGGTAATGGGGAAGGGGTAATTAAATCATCCAGGTAATGGGGAGGGGTAATTAAATAGTTCTGTTTGAAAATAAATTGGTTGTGTTATATGGAAAGGTATTCTGAAACACCTTAATCATGTTTACCTTCGATAATAAGTTTACCTTTACGATGTGACAGGAAACAGCACACCCAGGTGATAGTGACTCATATTTGGGTCCAGGTTATATTTGAGGCTTTAATAACCTCGTAAACGTGAACCTGTTTTTACCTGTACAGACAAATGTGTAGGGAAAATATTATGTTGAGACGTGTGAGCTGTTTATGTGGTGTGGGCTGTGGTCACCAACCCTCAGAACAGGAGGAAGGCACCTTCGGCTGGGTGATTTATTCTTTGTGGGCTGTGGTCGCCAACCCTCAGAACAGGACGCTAGTTAACCATTAAGTGACCGACTAACTAACACTCTCCTGCCTCCCACAGCCCCTGAGATCCTCCTCTATGAGCCGATCACCAAGAAGACTGACATGTGGTAAGTGTCAGGTAGATACTAATTAGCCCTTTAACTAAACCACCTTTATTAATCTACAGGAGTATCTTAATGTTAGGACAAGGTTGGGTTGGGTTGGGTTAGGTTAGGTTAGGTTAGGTTAGGTTAGGTCGGCCTTAAATACCGATCAGCCAAACGTTACAAATGCCACAAAATATCGGCCAAAGGTCAGGGGTCAATATGTTTATAAATGAGAAATCTAGGTCACAGGAGATGGCTTTGGGTGACCTTATTATCAACAGGTCTAAGGTCAGGGGTCAGTAATATCAATGGAATAATATTTTGGACATAGTATTATCTTGGTGACCTTATTTTCAACAGGTCACAGGTCAGTAATATAACTGAAAGTAGTAATAAGGTCACACTAGTATTTTTGGAACTCCTATTATTAGAGGTCAGAGGTCAAAGGTTGTGTTTACTAGCTCAAAATCTTCACTCGAAAAAAAAGAAACACTCTAGTGACCTCATTATCTAAGGTCAAAGGTTCATAGATGTTATATGTTCAGTACGTGTATATAACAATTTCACAAGTTTACCCATTCATTTTTTCTTGCAAATCAGTTTTATTTTTGTATATTACCAAGATTATTTGGTTACTGGAGGAAGTGGGACGCCAGGTTACGTTAGATTAGTTTTGGTTAGGTTAGGTTAGGTTAATCTTTAAATGAATTATGCTAGGGTAGAGATTCTTCAGGTGTGTGTGTGTGTGTGTGTGTGTGTGTGTGTGTGTGTGTGTGTTATGATATACTCTTTGATAATATACTTGGTTATATCTCTTATATATGTTATCACCTGTTATCTTAGAAGGTAAACTGTTGCTTTCTCTCTCCTGCTATCATAAGACACCCAACTAAGTCATATCCTCCCCCACAGGTCTCTGGGAGTGCTGACCTACGTGCTCCTGACGGGGTTCTTACCGTTCGGGGGCGACACAGACCAAGAGACGTTCCTGGAGATCTCGCGGGGGGAGCTTGACTTCCCCGAGGAGCTCTTTGAAGACATCTCTGCTGAGGCCATTGACTTCATCAAACGCCTACTAGTGAGGCAGCCAGAGTGGGTGTTGATGCCTCGTGCCTTCTGGTGGCCTGTTTAGCCTCACAGCACTGGCATGAGCTCTTGTGCTGTCATCCTCACACACACACACACACACACACACACACATTTTTTGTATTGTTACTATACTGAAATTCCCTGTTGAATAACTTTTCTTCCCCTTGTTATTATAAACCATATTTGTATCACTTATTTCACCTGTATGTTACTTATCAATCAGGTGACCCATTCCTTAATTATATAACTTTCATCATCTCTGTTGACAATGTTTTCAACCCTTTGGCTACCAGGTTCATGTATTTATGGTCATAGTGACTGAAAATTAACTTGTTTCTAACTACAGTTCCGTTTTCTTCCACCAGACGTCGCATGAGCGTACGGGAGTGCCTCGACCATCCCTGGATGAAGAAAGAGATGGATAGACCGACACGACCCACGACTCTTCCTATCACCCCTGTGTCAACACCAGCACCTCCCATCACGCCTACACCCATCACGCCGGGTTCCATCATGGCGCCCTCGGAGATCACATCACCAACCATGGACATTGGTCTTCCGCCCTTCCATCCCAACACCCCAATCAAGCAAGCACCTCCTTTCCCAGATCCCAGCTCGACCGTCACCTCACCTGTCACCTTCATGCCCCCTGTGGCCCCATCATCTCTACAGCGTCAGGAGTCCAGGACAGCATCAAGACCTAACCTTGACCGCCTCAGGAGTATGTCTAAGTCACGAGAGGTGTTGTCAGAGAGAATCCAGATGTCCAACTTGAAGAAAACAATATCTAAATCCCGAGAAAGACTTTTCGATGCAAAACTTGGACTTTCAAAATCCCATGAGAGGTTGATGGGTCTTCGGTCATTCTCACAGTCCGTAGAAGCTCTCTCAGCTCTCTCACAACTCAGTCAAGTTAACTCAAGATATCAGAGCTGCAATAATATCTTCGTCCCGATGCTCACCCCCAGTGATGACAAGGACAATGACATAACTTGCAGAATGTACAAAAGTTTAGCTGCCATTGACCAGATTGATGGAATCGATTACTCACGCAAACTTGGCTATTTCGAATCAAGATTCTCCAAGGACGACGAGGATTACAATGATCTCGTCACTAGACACAACACCAACATGAACAGCGTCATAACCTCACAGGACGCCCCAAAGACTGGAAGGTGTGGAGACATGGCAAATGAGGCACGTCTTAGAGGTGGTGGTCGAGGTGGTCGGGGTGGCGACATCTGTGACAAGCGCTGTCCACGTCACAATCACAGACAATCTGAGGCACAGCTAACTCAGAAAATCCCTAAAGTTAACAGAGCAGAACGTATGAAGCGAGAAGCACAAAGACGGCGCAAAGAGAGAAAAGAGAGAGAGAAAGAAGAGAGAGAGAAACAGAAAGGGAACTTGGTCAGTGATCCAGAAGTTGTGTCGAGAACAACCAACAGAACAACACAGGAGAAAACCACTGAAGGTGCGTCGTCTCCAAGTGGCCGTCGACGATCAGTATCACACGTTGAGCAACGCCTGGCTGAGCGACACGAACGCCAGCAAGAGCGACTGGAGAAACAGGAGAAAGGAGAGAGAAGAAACAGTCTGAGTAACAGAAGACGTAGTTCCGTAGACCTTGACAGAAGTCCAGTTAGTGAGAGGTTAAGACTTGGTAAGAACAATAACAGTGCGGGCTCGTCGCTAGAGAGACCTCGTAGTACAACACCAACTGGGAAGCACAAAACTAAGAAACATTCCAGTGGAGGAAGTGACGTCTCCCAGGCGTCCTCCCTGGAAAGCGTCGACGGAAACCTGGATAGTCCACGAACCCCCACCAGGCCCAAGAGGCCCACCTCACTAGACCTCCCCGAAATCAAGATCTTTACCGATAACACGAAGGCAGTACCTCCCAGTGGTGACGTCAACGACAACATTGTTAAACAGGAGACTCGTGGAGACATCGATGAGGCGTATGTGTCGCTAGACGATACAAGCATATACAACAGAAGCCGAATTATGGAGAGTAATGTGTCAAGTGAGTCAGGCAGCACCATAACTGAGTCAAAACAAGAACAACAAACACAGGTAATCTCTGAGCCAACTGTAGATAAGAAAGATGAGGATGAGTCTGAGAACAGAAATTTACAGACTGCATCAGAACAAGGCCTCGGAGGCTCCGGGGATCTAACCATCATAGACGAAGAGGACGATGGTCACGGCAAGAGAAAGTGTTTACCTTCATACGTAAGATCCATCTCTGCCAACAGTGACATTGGCAGTATGGTGAGTGAAGGCAGCGAGGGTTCCTTAGACCGGGATAACTGTGGTTCTTGCAGTCCGAGCACAGACACAGACTTGTCGCCAGAGTGGAAAGGTCGCGGCCGATCTATGAGCATTCAGTCTGGTGGGTCAACAGGGTCCTTACAGCACAAGGGGAGGTCTAGGTCGAACTCCGTCCACCTCGAGCCCACAGGCAACAACCGAGCCAGACCGTGGGGAGGGGTGTGTGACGGGGCAGTGGCCAGAGCCTTAGGGAAGTTCAACATCAGAAGTGACGACAAGACTCCGGTGGGTAAACCTATCCCTTGTAGACGTATGTCAACCCCACCGTTGTCCCCGTCAGCCGAGGATGACTCTGCCTTCCTCGAGTAACACACATCCCTTCTTCATCATTAATTATTCCCTTCAACACCTTCACTTCTTTCCCACTTTCTCCAGGAACTCACTAGTCCCTCAAGTGCCCACCAAATATTAAGAAAACGATGTTGTATAACCTTGTTCATAAACGTTGATAAGAATGTTGTCCTGTGCGATGGTGCTGGGTAACTGTAAATAAATAGAGATAAAAGTATATTTTTCAAATCCAGTAGTGATCCCAAGGCATTAACTTGATCAGCACAGTACACGTCATCTAGACAGAAATATTCTTTTTCTTCATCTTCTGCATTACCAAAGCTAATAAATCTTGATTGTGTTTTGCATCTTTTGTCGGGGCCAATGTGCTAGTCAACCGCTTGCCTCAGTCATCATGATGAAGCTGGGTTATCAAGGCCAGTTTCACTTAAAGGTTATCTTTCTTCAGTTCTTCACCGTCAGCCTTACCAGAGCGTCAAGGCTGTACGAGGCTGACACCTTCCCCAGGCTTCTGTGGCTCACCACCACACAAGTTGCGGCCAGTGCTGACGCCAGCAACCCGCAGCTGTGACCTCAAAGTACTACAAAAATTTTATTTGTCTTACTTTGGCGGTGACGACCCGTTATGTATTTGTGAGACACTCTTGGTGGAAATCAACCTAATATAATACTTCTTTGTATCATTAATTCAAAACTTTTCCTCAATTTAGATCTTAAAAAATTAAAAGGGGAATGCAGTGGCAACTGAGTCAATAAATATGAGTAACTTTTAATGACTTTTAGTGTCAAGAATCAGTTCGAAACTTTAGCTTGCAACGTAGCATTTAACTAATGAGGCTTTTTGATCTACATGTTAACTCAAGTGTCTGTGTTTTTTATCATGTTGTTCGTGGCAGAGGTACAGCTGACGCGGTGCTTGTCATAAAACGGGTATTATTATTCTCAACTACCATACAGGTGCTATGCCCATCCCCCACTTCCCTCCGTAAGGACCCACCAGACCCAGAACTGACCCACCAGACCCAGAACTGACCCACCAGACCCAGAACCAACCCACCTGACTGACTTTCCAAGGCGCAAAACGACGTGACCCCAGGCCCCTCATGACGTGAGCTTCCAGGGGCCTGACATGACCTGAGTTCTCAAGGCCCTACACAGCCCAAGTCTTCCCCAAAAGATCATCCTTGTGTGGCCCGACACACACACATCGCACTCTCTCTCTCTCTCCTGCCACAGTGAGATCTGTTCACTACCACACCCTGCAACCAGAAGAGAAGACCTGAGGCCTTACATAAGCCTCTGGTTGGCTGAGACTCCTGATAATGCTCTCAAGGTTCACCAATTAACTTCGAAATCACCGTTCAAAACACCCTGAAGAGCGTACGGGCAAGAAGGGTATGAAAGACCATCTGATGACTCGCCAGACAATCACTGTGTTGCGTAGTATGGAACAACCACCACAAGCCAACCAGAGTCTCAGGCCAGCAACTAGAGGTGTCCTCGTCGACACAAAAGGAGAAGACAGTGTAATAATAATGTGGACAGATGTGGCCAAGGGAGGGACTCTCTGAAGCTGTGTTAAGCCCTTATTGGACGTGTTATTGTTAAGAATGACACTGCTTGTTTAAGCTTAGATTTGTGAATGTTAAAAGTATCAAGTCAGATGTCATAAATATGTTAGAAATTTGATAAGAATTTTGAAATTATTAGTTATATATGATAAGAAATTTAAATTATCAGATTATTGTGTTAAAGCAGATAAAAGTATTAATTAAATATGTTAAAGTTGTTAGAATTATCACCTTAATGTGACGAGTTAAAATCATCAATTTGATATGACAGTAAAGTTAAAATCATCAAATTAACTATGACACGACAGTTATAATCATCAATGAATTAGAACTCACAGGTAAATGAGTCACACAGGTGATTATAGCGAGGCGGAGACAATTAAGACTTCCACCAGGTAATTTTCCCTCCAGGTTACTTGACGTGTGACGGGCGCACTCCACATGTTGCCAAGTGCAGTAGCTTATTGTAACTCTACACCAGGTATATCGAACCAATAAATCTTTATGATGAGTTCTGTGTCTTAACCTTGGGGCTGTGATGTGTGTTTAAATATTGCTCTGTTTTATAACCTAACCTAACCTGACGTAACTTAACAAAACCCAACATTTTAAACCCTAGTATGCTGTGTCGTATGTGCTGTCATTTTTCGTATAAAGAGAATAATATAGGTAGAATAATATTTAGTTAAAATATAATAATTACAGTAATGAAAACAATATAAAGTAAATAAAATATAGTTTGACTACATTACAAAGATACATATTACATACAAGATTGAAATGAATATAACTTATAAGTAATTATTGTATACCAGTACTGCATCAACATTAACAGTTTGGAAGATGAGAAGGGAGACAGAATGTAAATAAACCGAAGATAAAAAAAAGGACTGGACAGCAAAAGAACATTCCCGTACTGCTCTAGGCTCCTCAAGACGTGAAGCCAATGTTTCCGGCCGAGAATGGAGTAGTGGGAGAGCTACAGAGTTAGAGTTACAACCTGGAGGATCGACTGGCAGAGTTAACTGGGAGATATAATATTTTAATACTTTTGTGTATTCTGCCCCAGGTTCTTTGTTCCCCTGTGCCTGTACCGTTTAAAGAAATACAGAAATCGTATATAACTATATTTCACGTATGAACTTTAAAGATGTTAAAACTAAGTGTTTGGTTGTGGACTAGTTTAGTGTCGTAACAGCGGGGTCGTTTACAAAGTTTCGAATTTCGTGGTTAATCTTCGTTAATAATTAATTACATTTTAGCTAATGATGGCCATAAATAATTTGAAAAACTGAACGAGACTGTAAATGACGACAAATTGTGAATTGGTGCTCTTTCTGCCATCCAGTTGATAAATAGAAACGTATGTGATTTTCATTTGAATCAGTAAAGCGAACCAATGAATTAGGGAATCGAAGCACCTCAAAGGAAGGGCCAAGGTGTTCGACTGCCACACTGAGTCGCCAGTGATCATTAAGGTTTGGTGGTGGTAACGTGTGTGTGTGGTGATACAGTATTTGATGACTATTTCCGGGTTTTACGTTCGCTTTTTGTGGATTACCTCATGTTCGTGGCGCCGTAAGGGCTTCCAGGACTCTCCGTTGTGATTATTAGCAGCTGAGTGCAGGTATGTTGATTAAAAAGTTGTGTTGTACTGTGGGGTCGAGGGAGGGGAGGCGGTGGTGTCTGCTTTCCTCACTGTCTACAGGAATTGTGAATGTGATGGCTCGGACAGATAATACTGCAATTAACCAAAGTTAGCATGTAGACGTATAAATAAAATCCTAGAATTAGTAACGTTTCATTGTTGTTAGTAACACGGGAAAAGATTGTACACATAGGAGGATGACAGTGGTTAGAGAAAGATTATTTATAAGGTGGTTGGAGAGTCCTGCCAGGCTCTCTCATTTTTTTTACTTTTACTTTTATCCTCTCCGCCACTGATCGGCTTGTTAGCCGCTTGGGCGATCGGTCACGTCTCTGTCACGCACTGTTGGCAAGTACTGGGCATGCACCGGCTCCTGAATGTACCTGAACCCGCTCCAGTGTTGGTCAAGTCTTGTCTTGAAAGAGCTCACACAACGCTCTCTGGTAGATTGTTCCAAGAGTTTACAACCCTCACTCCGAAAAAAGTTTGCCCTCACGGTTTTCTGGACTTGCGGCTTCTTCAATCTTGAGCTGTGACCCCTTGTGGGGCGAGCGTCCGCCAGCTCCAAGTAAGGACACTCAACTGAGTAGTGCCCCTTGAGATGCTTATACACCTCAACTAGGTCCCCCCTTGCCCGTCCGTAGTATAAACTAGGCAAGTTCAGGCGCTCCAATCTCTCAGGGTGGTTGAGGTGCCGAAGTGCATATCTCGGGGACCAGATGGGGTGACAGTACTCCAGATGGGGAAGCACTTCACTCCTGAAGATCGCTACAAGGGACGGACCGTCTAGATATCTGAACTACCTTCTTATAAGACCTAATAATTTATTCGGTCGGTCACTCATCTTTTTGGTGATAGTTATTTTTATTTTATTGTTCTCTTTAAGTATAAGATGGTAAGGGTGATCCTCCTACTAGCTTTGAGCCATCGGTGTTCTGTTATTCGTTCGTTGTCGTTCTCATTTAACCAGTTTTGGTCTGTTTCTATGTTTAGGTCTGTTAGTTTGTTCCAAATATTTTTTGCCTTGTTGCTGATTTCGACTTTTAGAGCTTGGAGGTTCGCTCTGTCATGCAATTACTCGTTTGTAATGTGGTCGGTGTATTTAATTTTGTACAAAATTATAGGAATTTCAACACAAGATAATTAAGTCTTTAAAATACAAATAATAACCGAATTATTTCAAATCTATTAGTGAAAATTTGTAATAAACATCTTCTTTTAGCGTAGATACCCCTAGAGGAGTTGGCAACTGTAGAAAACGGCCAATATTCTTTGGTACACTATGAAAAGCAATTATTTCACACTAAAGAGAAACGATAGACTTTACAGTACAGTTATTACATGCGATCTTGGAATTCTTTAAAAGCTATGCATAAAATTATTCATAATTACACATAATACTAAGGACCCTTATGATATTGGCTGTGGGTTTATTTAACAAGTAGATTTTGCTTAAAGTTTGATATTTACCTTATTTACATTTATTAGCTTATTTACCTAATTGCCACCCACTAGAGGTGGCCATACCGAGGAAAGAAGGCCAGTGGCCTATGTAGAATCCCCCATTGTTTCATAGTCTTGTTAAGGGTTATATTGTACCCCAGAATAGCTCTGGTTAGGTTCCTTAGCGCTGGTGGTGCGTGACCACGAAAAAGTGGTCTCGGTTCACTTTTTTCATATCTCAAGATTTCGAACGTTTCTATGAGATCTGCCTTGTTGAGTCTTGTCTGAAGGGTTGTTAGTCCAAAGGCTCTCACTCGAGGTGACAGTTCCAGATATATCTTAGTCGCTCTGTGTTGCACAAACATAATCCCCGTTTCTTTTATTTTCGAAAGCCTGGATATATTATAATAATTTCTAGGTAAGAGAGTTAATAGCGACTGTTGTAAATATCAGTACAGTATTTTGCGTTGTTTATGATACTACGCAGAGAAATAAACGCCAGGGATAAATAGTTTAGTCTCGTCAGAGCAAATTGGTAGAGAAAACATGTATGCATATTGTATAAATACATGTACAAATAAGTAAAATATAATATATCATTAATAAGACATTCTAAAAAGGAAAATAAAAATAATACAAAATAATAATTGTCCGGAAGTAAAGAAATAACATAATTATACTCGATTTGCACTATATTGAGGTGTGCTGTATAGTTTTCAGAGGAAATGTCAAAATCAGTGTGGACCAGCATTTTAGTTTAAGGTCCGCGTTGGTAATATTCCTACAAATCTATAAAAAAAAATCAGTGTACCTAAATTCACTAACTCAGAATTACTGAAAGTCTTGACTCTAATAGAGTGCATCAATATGAGGTGTATATTGAATTCTCAGAATACCTCAGTATCTTGTTAAACACGATACTAAGATCCAAGACTTGTTTTACAGATGTACAACTGTATACGAACAAAATATCCCTATTGACTGTAAATTATTATGCGCGAGTCCTCTATTTGAGACTGGACGAACAATAACATGACAGTGGCTTCAACCTACAAAATATGTATAATGCGAGAGGGAATTATATGCGATGTCATGATGGATCATCTACAACTGTGTGAAGGAATACCATCATAGGTTTATGCTGGACAATTGCTTGACACAGCTGATGGAGGCGCTGGATCTAACGAGCAGATCAGTGGTGAAGACGATAAAAATAAAAAGTAAAACTATAAGAAGGTCATTTAGATATCTGGATGGTCCAACGCTTGTCACGATGTTCAAGAGCGAGGTGCTTCCCCATCTGGAGGTATGCTAGAGACTGTCAATTGAAAATGTCCAAAGGAGGGCCACCAGACTGGTGCATGCTCTATGGAACCTCAGTTACCCAGAGAGATAATAATGCATGCAACTACCTAGCTTATACTACAGACAGGCGAGAGGGGGACCTATTCAGTCAAATGTACATACCAGGAACTGGCAAACATCCACCCCACAAGGGGTCACAGCTCAAGGTTGAAGAAGCCAGAAAACTGTGAGGGCAAACTTTTTTGGAGTGAGAATTGTGAACTCTTGGAACAATCTGTTGTGGCGGCACCAAGTTTACGCTCATTCAAGGCCAGACTTGACCAACACTGGAGCAGGTTCAGATGTATTCAGGAGCCAGTGCATGCTCAGTACTAGCCAACAGTGCGTAACAGAGACGTGACTGATCGCCCAAGAGGCTAACGAGCCGATCAGTGGTGAAGAGGATAGAAGTAAGTAAATAAATAAGGGACTCAGATGGTAGATAAATAAGTTAAGAAAACACCAAAAGCAAGCGGGCAGGTAGACCTAATCTTCTTGATATCCACAGAAAGTATAAAGCAGTAATAAAAATACTAAGTTTCAGCTTTCAGTCTTGAAAATATATACATGTATAATTCACGGTGGATAAGGCCGAAATACATTACATGTTTCAATGTTCTGATAAGAATCACACACACACTATATATTTTTTTTAATTTAAGACAGCATACAGCTTGCTAACACTTCTTACTACGATTGAGAGATAAACTTTAAACTTTGTGATAGTTGACAACTGCAATCACGCCGTGTGGAAAAGTTAAGTGAAACCAGAGAAGAAAAGGGGGAGAAATAGGACCTGCATATTCTATTTGGTTTGTGTTGTATATAAAGGGAGATTCTGTAAATCCATCCCATTTAGATTGTTGCGAAAGAAACATATGCAGTACAGCCCAGAGCAATAATAAGTTAGCATCCCAACTTGAAAAACAATGTTATCTAAACCTACAACCCAGAAAGCAGCCACTGTACCACGAAGGTATAAGTGCAGGCAACTGTACATCAGTGATAAAATCAATTAAATTCCTTCCTGAATGTGGTACACTTTTCGTATTTTGGTTCAGCTTACTTGGGCTTTCATGTAATGTACTGTACTAATCAATCCTACTGTACTTATCTCAATAGTGTCCTGTAATGTATTCTTTTCCTTCATCTTTTTTTTAGTACTGCATGTGGATAAACCTTAAGAGAATAGAACAATCTTCACTAAACCAAGACACAAACAACACAGAATGTATACAATGTACCTATTATATTTCTGCTCACGAGGATAATTTGGTGCACAAACGTCAAGATTCTGGATTTTATTAAGAATAATGTATCGTCATTTAGTGCCTGGCAGACTGATCAGGGAATTATACAACTGGCATTATTGTGCAGTGAATGAACTAATAAACCTGCAGCAGCTTGGTCCTGACACACACACCAGAACTTGCCTTCAACATGTAGTGTGTGGTATTTAACATGTGCTACCACATCTAGCGTGTGGTATTTAACATGGGCTACCACATGTAGTGTGTGTGTGGTATTTAACATATACTGCTACATGTAGTGTGTGGTATTAACATGTGCTGCCTGCCACACGTACCGTTGTCACGGCTGATGGTGTAGAAATACTTTAAGTATTTACATTAATTACAATAATCTGAACAGACTCTATTTCTCAGCACATACTTATTCTACTAATTAATGTGTGCAACATTTCAATTTACTATATTAAATTACAGTAAACTCAAATGTCAACAGACTCAGATTTATTTTAATGTAATTCAAAGCAACTGAATATATAGTTACTATTGTTTTGCATCACACAGTGAAGAGTTCCAAGAGAAACAAGATGAAAGCAGAGATTATTAATGTGAACTGTTATGTGATGTAGACCAAAATAACATGAGCGGAATAATTTGGCCCAATAATTATCCACAGAAGACTGGACAATCCTTTCATATTACGGCGCAGCTTCTGTTTTACTATCTGGGGAGATCTCCTTTGGTAAGGTAGTATATATTAATACTGTACAGTTCAATGGTTTCATTCATTCCTATACAGTATTGATTTAAATAAATATGCATACAGGAATCTAACAATTTCATATATTACTGTTAGTAGATCATCAGCTGTGGAAATAAAACGTTTTAATGATAAAAGAGTTTGTTTCTTTACATCTTAATTAATTTAATAATTATACATCCAAACGCATGGAAGTCGAATATGATGCTACTGCCAGTCGCCACTCACCAGCTCTGCTCACCACGGAATCTCAGAGCGTTCTGCCGGGAGTGCCGTACGATATGTTGGGCAAACACTTCCTTTTTACCTAGACTTCACTTTTAACTGCTACACCTTCACTTTTAACTGCTACACCTTCACATCACACACTGGCAGATTGTTGAATATTCCAAGAGTTTACAACCATCTTACACAACGCATACAGTATTTATAGTGATCAATGGTATACAGTAAAATCAAATGTGCCAGCGAAAGGTGGTATGCAAGACTAACTTATTTGTGATGACCTTTGTCCCTAGTTCTGTTTTTTATAAGAAACTAAATTAATTGCGCACCATTGCAAAAAATTACTTTATTTATAAACTGTCAAAATAGAGCCAGGGAAACCTTAACAAAACAAGAAATATCAAACCCGGGGCCAAGGTTTGTTATAAGGCAGGGTCTTATAGAGGGAAAAAAAAGCTTGTCTTAATACGCCTTATTTACGGAATCTTACTAAAACATTATTTTTTTTCGGTACTCTTGACAAATTATACACTCACTATGGGAAACCCTTCTAAAGTACAGTAGTTGTGGGAAAACCTATCAAAACAATCTGAGAATATCCTCTCCCTACTTGCCCTGATATACAGTATATATGGAGTACAAGAGGTAACTTAGAGAATCATTTATGAGTGAGAGTGTTTTACCACACCGGATGGACCACAGCTGCAGCCTACAACACTTCCTCTTATACATTTCCTTTTGTCCGTTTTGAAGACTTGAGTTGGCGATGAGTCCCTACTTTACTTCCTGTTCCGAGAGCTTTATTAAACGACATTTTGATTATTAATAAAGATAATTTTATATAGACTTTTTGTTCCCCTAAAACAGGTAATAAATGGAAGGAAGGACGGGAAGGAGGAGGAGGAGGAGGGACTCTTCTGAGGATGGGTGGTTGGAGGGGGATGGAGGGACAATGGTGAGAGGGTGGGAGGGGTAGGGGCTAGTCCGTTGTGGCAGGTGGTAGGGAGGGAGGGAGGCAGGTGAGTGAGGGAGGTGGTAGACGTTACACTTGCCTGCTGCTGGTGTTCTCTCTCGGCACCCAACAGTTTTCAAAACCTCCTGCGGCTACTGAGGCGCCATACAGCTCCTCCCTGTACCTCTCCCTCACACGGTCCTCATAGGTTGGTAAATAGCTGTTGTGTTTTATAAATGGTGATGCATTTGAACGTCTTAATGACTAGGTATCATTCAATAGTGTATTCCTAGTCATTCAGTATAGCGTGTTCTTACGTCATTCATTTTAGCATATTACTGGTTCACTCAATATAGCATATTCCTGGGTCCTTCACTATAGCATATTCCTGGGTCCTTCACTACAGCATATTCCTGGGTCCTTCACTACAGCATATTCCTGGGTCCTTCACTATAGCATATTCCTGGGTCATTCAGTATAGCATATTCCTGGGTCATTCAGTATAGCATATTGTTGGGTCCTTCACTATAGCATATTCCTGGGTTCTTCACTACAGCATATTCCTGGGTCCTTCACTATAGCATATTCCTGGGTCATTCAGTATAGCATATTGTTAGGTCCTTCACTATAGCATATTCCTGGGTCCTTCACTATAGCATATTCCTGGGTCCTTCACTATAGCATATTCCTGGGTCCTTCACTACAGCATATTCCTGGGTCCTTCACTATAGCATATTCCTGGGTCCTTCACTATAGCATATTCCTGGGTCCTTCACTACAGCATATTCCTGGGTCCTTCACTATAGCATATTCCTGGGTCCTTCACTATAGCATATTCCTGGGTCCTTCACTATAGCATATTCCTGGGTCCTTCACTATAGCATATTCCTGGGTCCTTCACTACAGCATATTCCTGGGTCCTTCACTACAGCATATTCCTGGGTCCTTCACTATAGCATATTCCTCGGTCCTTCACTATAGCATATTCCTGGGTCCTTCACTATAGCATATTCCTCGGTCCTTCACTATAGCATATTCCTGGGTCATTCAGTATAGCATATTACTGAGTATTATTGTGAAAATAGCTTCTGTTGTGATGGTTGCTGTACAGTATTATGCATCGTGTTAAAAACAGGTAGAACAGCCTAACCTCCCTAACTTAATTCATTGGGAAATGGTAAATATTATTAGGTCAAGTTGGTTTTGGTTCATTGCAGTTTCGGCCAATACACGGCCAACTGCTTTAACCACCCTCACTTAACCTTTAGATCTCATTATTTGGAGTATTTCTAACCCCATTTCAATCAGGGGGCAAAGAATAATATTGTCAAATGAATTTTAAAGTTTCCATACGTTTTTTGGGGGGATAACTCTAAAACGGGTACTTCCCCTGAAAATAAAGGTCAAATTTTATTCAATCACACCAAAATACACAGGATAAACTAATTTCTAAACTACTAGGGCATATTGGCGGGTCCGACTCATTACCCAAATGTAGCCAAATATAGCCGGAATGAAGTCAAATAATGGTGCTAGATGAATAAATCGGACTGCCAATCACTTCTCGACAAGTATTTGGTGTCACAAAGTCACAAAAAATTGGTAAACTTAATTTAATCTGAGTTAATAGATCGAGTGCATGTACCTAACCTAACCTAACCTCACCTCACCTCAACTAGTATTTGGTGTCACGAAGTCACAAAAAATTGGTAAACTTAATTTAATCTGAGTTAATAGATCAAGTGCATGTACCTAACCTAACCTAATCTAACCTAACCTAACCTAACCTAACCTAACCTAACCTAACCTAACCTAACCTAACCCAACACAACTCAGATTAAATTAAGTTTACCATTTTTTTTTTACTTTATGACACCAAATAATAATCGAGAAGTGATTCACAGCCCGAATTACGCTTGTACGACCATCATTTGACTTCATTGCGGCTACATTTGGCTACAGTGTGAATGAATACACATAAAACATAATCTTGTACAGCAGCTAAAACAACTACCGGTTTCTGTGCAGGTGGGGGTCGATATGCTCCAAAATTTTACGTGTGACTAGTGACAGCCCTCATATACTAAAATTTATCATCCATGGTCTCATATTGTTTCCCACAAAGTATGCACAGATAGTTGTTTTAGCTACTGTACATTATAGGTAGGTATTATTTTTTTTACATACGTAGAAGTCTGTAACCATTTTTTTTTAAAATAAAACTATCCTTGTTTGTCTCTACGGTATTACAAAACATTTAAAGACCTACACAAAAGATAAGTGTATTCTGTGCTGTAATTGTTCATAGCTTCCAATTTGAATATTTATTATATTAAAAGAATCAAATAAATTTCTCTCGGGATACAGATTTCTGGTACAGTAAAATTGTATTTGGTTACATTTAGTTGACACAGTTCTGATAAGAAATTATTTCAGCCCCATAATGTAAATAAAAATGGACATACTGTAAAAATTTATCATGTTGCATCATAGATATGTACATACTGTATGTTAGTTAGCTGAAGTGACATCTCATCAGGGGATTATATTAAAGAAAGTATGGATTTTTTTGTTAAAATATTTCCAGACAAAATAAATTGTACCTGTAAATGGATTACTTTAGTACTGTAGTTGTCTTGATTTAAATTTTGTACCTGGCACAGCTTACATGTTTTTGTGTCATCTTAAATTTTTTAGAGAAACACAATAGGAATATGATGTCACACAGGAAAAGGTAAATGGAATGACTGTCTGTATGTCAGTTTGTATTTATTTCCACTGCTGTCATCTCACACCAGTGTTCTCTCTTGAAAACAGATAAATACTGCCTTTTATTGACACCCACACTTATTAGGGGTTTCATAGCATTTTTCTTTTTTTCAGATAACTGCTAAAACAAACTTGGCTCCTAATAAGCATGCCAAAGAGTACACGACATCATGTACTCAGTAAAGTACTCATCATTGTGTGTATAGCATCTGCATTAGGTGAGTACTGTACATACATGATTTACTTACACAATAACCTGTAATGTTAGAGTGTCATATTGTTCTGCCTTAGCAAAGTCTTACCTAATTTATACTGTACTGCTGTACAGTGCATTGTTTGACTGCTTGGTCCAGTATGTACTGTTGTACTTTAATGCTTTATTCTTAATGGCGCATGAAACAAAATATATCTCCACCCAGAATACAGTACTGTGCTGTACAGTACAGGTACTGTAAAAAAAATACACTAAGAAATGAAGACTTACACCTAATAAATTATTATCCAGCACTTCTTCAGCCACAGAAGTACTGTACTGTACTTGTGGTCCCCCAGCAACTCTCTTCATGTTGCCTTTATCATACTTGTCATTCCTTAACCAACTACTGTACTGTACACACTCTCTATACTGTACTTTTCACCATTTATCAGCTTATTAATGGTCACATAAGAGTTTTAGACTGTTATCTTACTTAGATTACCTGGTACTTAATTTTATCCTTAATGAAGGCTCTCTTCCTGTACAGTGCAATATATCCAGCTCTATGTGCTCTCATGTTATTCATTGTATAACAAGTGGGCTACAGTATTGGCTTTGTGATGTAGGCTATATTCAGAGTCAAGGCTCTGTTGTTGAACATGACATCAAAGATGTTTGTCCTCCTTGGTTGTTACAACTATTACTTTTATCCTCTTCACCACTGATCGGCTCGTTAGCCGCTTGGGCAGTCGGTTACGTCTCTGTTATGCACTGTTGGCAAGTATTGGGCATGTACTGGCTTCTGATTGTATCTTTACCTGTACCACAGTGTTGGTCAAGTCTTGTCTTGAAAGAGCTCACACAGTTGGTGCCGTCACAACACTCTGGCAGATTGTTCCAAGAGTTCATAATTCTCACTCCGAAAAAGTTTGTCCTCACAGTTTTCTGGACTTGTGGCTTCTTCAACCTTGAGCTGTGACTTCTTGTGGGGCAGACATCCACCAGCTCCAGGTATGGGCACTCAACTGAGTAGGGCCCCGTGAGTTGTTAATAAACTTCAGCTAGGTCACCTGGTGCTTCTCTATAGTATAAGCTAGGCAGTTGCAGGCATTCTAATCTCTTTGGATAACTAAGGTGATGTAGTACTGGCACCAATCTGGTGGCCCTTCTTTGAACCCCAAGATTCAGACTTATGAATCCTGAACACCCGTGGACAAAATAATACTCCATGTCTACTGCTTCGGGTTCATGAGTCTGAATCTTGGGGTTTGTGGAGCAGCAGGAGAGGTGACTGGACTTTTGCTCATGATGGTACAATAAACTGAGGTCATTACAATAACACATAATTCAGTATGTTTTTATTCCATTGTTGTTACTGTACAAAACAAAGCCAAAACTGGAGTACAGTATGAGGTATGAGTTGCTCACAATTTGTTAGAATCATTTATTATTTATTTATTTACGTATTCTATTTATTTTTTATTTTTTCAATGCCTTTACAGTACAGTCACTCCCCAGTTTATACAAAGGTTCCATTATGGACCCTGTCTTTAAGCTCAATTTTCCATAAACTGAAAATGACCCTCCCATAAGATAAATATGTACTGTACTATATTGAACATGGAGCACATAAATAAGTTTCACGTAGGGATTTTACGCATAATCCTCCACAAATAGTGTTGTTACGTCATACTAGCTACCTTCTGTAATAACAGAAACTCTTAATTTTTTATGATGGGACTTATGGGAGGCATTCTGTATCCTCGAATTTCCGTAAACCAAGTGTTGTGTAACCTAGAGAGTGTCTGTATGACAACAAGTACCAGAACGGCACTCCAATTATCTTGATATATAACAACATTCTAGCTCGTCGTAGCATTGAACGAGTGACTATACCAAGGGTGTGAGGGTTTTCTGCATGTGTTCTACTCATCCATAATTTGATGAAGTCTTTCATCTTGTTTGTATTTTTCTCGTTCACCAGTACCTTCATATTTTGAACATAGTTATAATGAATTGTAGACTAAACTGTACAGTACATTGGTAGTACTTATTCAATAAAACATTTAAATTATTTGCAAATCACTTTTTAACTTCAAATACTCATAGTTCTTTAATAATTGGGAATCAGACCCGTGTTCATAGAATATTTTTTACTAGAAAGAACCTGAAAAATTAGCTCCTGGTGATTGAAAGCAGACATAAAACTTGGCTACAGTGTGTCTGATGGCACCCGAGTCACCAGAGGTTTTTTTTTTTACGGGGATTAGCCCGCCCTGGCACAGGTCACTGACCCACATCGGGGCCTGAGGGGCGAAACTGTATTAATAATAATAATCATTCATAATAAATCAAAATTTTATTAAAAAATATATAAATTTGAAAATAAAATAATAATGATAATATAGTAATAATAATAATAATAATAATAAAGAACCATAAAAAATGCAAAAATTACAAAAAAAAAAACAATAGTGAGAAACAATATATGAATGTTGTCAAAGTAAGAAAACAATTGAGACCCTGCAATTGTGTGTAAATGAGGCAGAAAGTCAGATCAGAAACCGAGGACTTAGTCACAATTTTCGTGATGCCACATGGCAGCAGGGTCTACCCTTAGTCTCTGCTGCTCACTCTGGGCTGGCACCCTGCCTGGGCTTGTGGTGGTGAGCTGGGGGTGGTATTCTGTTCTGGTTTTACCCAACAACTGTCGTTAGGTAATCGTAGCTAACTCGGTCAAGTCCTGCTCTAAATGAGACATTTACGGCGATGTCAAATTACTCAGTAATATCAGACTTTGACCACACAATAATGGGAGTAATTTAGGGTGCAATGCTTTATTGAGAGTCTACTGTACCGAGCCAGGAGAGCATTGAGGCTGGGTGAGATCTCAGACTGCTACACTGATCTACCACTAAAACATTCCTGGTAAACATCATTAAGGTCACTCTCAGTAACATTCTTCAATTTGGGGTATGAGCCATAATGAATTACTTTTGTATACTGGATTACATTTGATGTTACATTATTGTAATGAGTTTTATTCATCAGTTGGGGTTTGGAAAGATTGAAACATGCAGGCCCAATAAAACTCTCAGTCCAGGGCCTTGTGAATGCTCAGTCCAGCCTGGTACAACCTAATCAGTGTTATGATAAATACTGATAATAAAAAATGCTGTATGATAACATAGGACATAGCATAATGATGCAATGGTGAGGAAGACCATTGTTGTGGCAGGATGATGGTGAAGCTGAAGCCTCCACAAGAGGTGTAGAGTAGGAGCTTTATAATGATGCAGTGATCAATGTGGGTCTGCAAATTTTTGGTGAATTATTTGTGTCATAAGGACAGCAAACAATTTAAAGGATTTTAGAACATAATGGCTGTGTGTTTGGAGTAAATTTTACAAGTTTTCTTGTTCAAAATATATATTAGTCAATTAACTGTAAAGTTTAAACTCTTTTTTATAAAATGGTTTAAAGCTAGATAAAATTAAGATTTTATACTGTACAGTATAGTGTATCTCCGTTAGCCAGAACAATTGGTGCAGAGCACTTCTGGGAATGAGAGATTTCCAGGTAACAAGACCATTCTCTCAAAGCTGGAAAAAAATCCCCCATCCCCAGAATTTTTCAGAATGATGCATGATTTCATCTCTCAAACCTGGGAAAAAAAATCCCTCATCCCCGGATTTTCCGGGTACTGGAAAATTTTTCTCAGAATTTTCCAGAAAATCATTCCCAAAGCTGTAATTTTCCAGAAAATTCAAGCTTTCGGAACGATTTTCCAGGAAAATTTCAATTTTGCCCATCCGAGACTTCCGGTTAAGAGGAATTCCGGCTAACGGAAATACTGTATTACTTTATTGTGACCCTCGGCCGATTAATCATTCTGACAGTAATGTTATGTAGTACTGAGGTGATATCTTAATGCTGTGAAAGAAATTTAATAATTGTGAATTTCTAGGGTGGTGACCTGAGCTGCCATGGCAAGAAAGTGCCAGGTATACTGTATATACTCTTGCCTCTTGGTTAAATTACTTGGGAAAGTTGACACTAGTAGTAATGTGTTCATTACTCATCATATCAGACTTAAACTTTCCATTAAGTTGGAATCATAAGAGTATTTGCTCCTTTTCCATTCCCATACAATATTTGAATTGTTATGCCCCTCCATTTTTATTGGGGGATAGCATGCAGTGTTGCTCTCCTGTACAGTGTCATTTCTCTTGACTAACTTAAGAACATCTTTTCAGACTGAAATGTAATTTATTTTAGTTCCATACAGGTGTTGTCAACATCTAGTGTGGGTTTCATTCTCACCATTGACCTTACATATTTTAAATATTTATGATATTGTTCAACTTGTAAATTTTGGCTGGGTCATAGATCACTTTCTCTTGACCTAGTTTTCAGCGCAGTCAGATTTTAAGGTCATTTATGTTTTTTCTGTGTTGTGTTCATGGTGTTAAAAGTACAATCCGCTGGCATGGGTCGGGTATGAGAGCCCACTGGACTTGTTATATGTATTTTTCTCCTTTGCAGACAATGACGTCACCACTCTTGTTTGCTCAGGACAATCCAACTGTCATATTGAATGAAAGTCAAGAGCTGTTTAAGATTATGTCTGGACTCCAGAGCCTTCCCCCTCTTGTTACCAGTAACTACCATCACCAAACTACTGCTGGTGTTGAGACAAAAGATCTACACTTAAGTGAGGATGACTTGGTTACTGGTGTAGAGAGAATGGAAGGAATATCCCTGGAGTATGAGGACTCCACTCCGATTTCACGCTTAACACACCCAACCACAGAACCCTTCACTCAAGATACTACTGATTTAACAGCAGATCAGGAACTGTTTACTGAATCCAGAAATGAGAACCCTTTTGTTACTACAGAATCAGTAAAAAATTCTACTGATTTTTATGACATTTACCGATATGTCACTTTTCTTGAATCAAATGAAAATTCAACAGATTTTAATAATAAAAATATTCCAGTTTCTCCAGGAAGTCCTGAACATATTCCTCAGAATTATATTAATAAGACAGCAACTATAACTCAAGGTGGTAGGAGTTTGAAAGAAATTATTGATGACTTAAGTAATGTTAGGAAGGTGAAGTCTGAGAGTGAGCACACAGGAGTCACAACAAATATTCCAACTACAGAAATTACTGTCCATACAAGAGGAGGAACAAGGAGGCAGAAATATGTCCGAGTGCCTCATCTTAGTACTGATGCTACTCTAGATGAGGAAGATTATGATTGGTCAGCATCTACACTACCAAATCCTGCTTCTGATGATTGGTCAGCAACCACACTACCAACTGCTGCTTCTGGTGATTGGTCAGCAACCACACTACCAACTCCTGTTTTCGATGCTGATGATTGGTCAGCAACCACACTACAAACTCCTGCTTCCGATGCTGATGATTGGTCAGCAACCACACTACAAACTCCTGCTTCCGATGCTGATGATTGGTCAGCAACTACACTACCAACTCCTGCTTCCAATGCTGATGATTGGTCAGCATCTACACTACCAACTCCTACTTCCGATGCTGATGATTGGTCAGCAACCACACTACAAACTCCTGCTTCCGATGCTGATGATTGGTCAGCAACTACACTACCAACTCCTACTTCCGATGCTGATGATTGGTCAGCAACCACACTACCAACTCCTGTTTTCGATGCTGATGATTGGTCAGCAACCACACTACAAACTCCTGCTTCCGATGCTGATGATTGGTCAGCAACTACACTACCAACTGCTGCTTCTGATGATTGGTCAGCAACTACACTACCAACTCCTGCTTCCGATGCTGATGATTGGTCAGCAACTACACTACCAACTCCTGCTTCTGATGCTGCTGATTGGTCAGAAACTACAACCATTATCTCAGATTTAGCGAACAGTACAGACACAAGAGAACAGGACTTCTTACTTGAAGCATCACCAGTCACAGAGGCAGGGACAGATCCCACCAAAAATCCTTTAGATGATCTTGCAAATTTTGATATAAGAATAATGACAACAAGGAAGGGATTACAAGTAGATGCCCATGATGTGGTATTTGACCCTAGTCAGATAGCTAAAGCAACAAGTTACGAAGGCTCATCCTACTCCACAGCTACGAGAAGTGCAACAGTCACTACTTGGGTTGATCCTGAGAATAGGCATTTGTTTAGTCAACAACAAAATTTAATGAATTTGACAAAATCAGAAAACATAGAAGATTCAGGAAAATTTGAAATCGTAACAAAGTCTGAAATGTTTTTTGAATATAACCCTGACACTGAAGTGACCACTGATGTCCCAGAGACTGGTGCTACAGTTACCTCACATTTAGAGTTATTACCTAAAGCAAAAACTGAATTTACATCTGTGGCTTCAGACTTTGTACATAATAGTGAGACTGAATTGGAAAACAAAGAACTCCCTGAAGTGACTACGAAAAATTCTGTCTTGAATAATGGCATAAATAAAAATATTACAGAGGTTATTCCTACTCTAAGATATAATGTAACAGACTTTGGAAATGATGCTCAAATACTGGTGAAAGATAGTAAGAACAAGTCTGAAGACTCATTAATATATGGAATACCAGTGGCAGATACTAGCAGGGAGTCTGGCACACACTTGACCCCTTCTGTTGTAATAGCATTATCAGTTTGTTGCAGTATTGTTCTCCTGCTAGGAATGATCTCCATTTTCTTGTGGTTATGTCGCCGACACAGAAATAGAAGTAAAATTTATTTAAGCCATGAAGCTACAAAACCAAGAGCTTTTTTCACAAAACCAATGAACCCAGCTTTGCTTCCTAATGAAAATATTGCAGAGACTGTATATATGTTAGAGTTTCAAAAACCAAGAGCTCCAGTTATGTTAAGTGATGACCAAAGAGACTTGTATTTTATTGAACGCTCACCTGTTAACGAGTCTTCACAAGTAGAAAATACCAGCATTGGTGTTGAAAATAATGGCTTTAGTGATATACCTCTTAATGAATCAAAAACAGAACAGATACAAAATAGTAACAAAATTAGTGGTCAAGATCCACCAAAGTATGACTTAAAGTATAAGTGTGAGAGTGACAGTGACTCGGGCATTAAGGTGTGGTCGTCGACGGGTTCACTGTACACGGCTGCCTCGCAGCTCACCCAGTGTTCTCTCCCACCGCCTCCTTACTCTCCGTCTGTTGGTGAAGAATCTCTTTGTCTTTCAGTTCATTCTCTTCCTTCATTGTCCAAGAAACTAGGAATGTTAAATGTATAACTATCATCCCAACTGAAGTACAGGTACTGTTCTTTACTGTACTCTGAATATTAATGTTAAATCTCAAGTGTGTATGTAAATAAGTATTTATTGTACAGGTTGGTGTGTTTCAGGTTTGTCAAGTTATCAGTCAGTTATGTTCAATCTCAAGTCAAAATTTATTTTGTGAAAATTAAAGTTATAGAATATACAAAGTGCTTGGGTATACTTAGACTGTGAAACAGGCCGGTGTAGATACAGTGATAGACTTCCAAGTAAAAAAAGCCAAACTGCTTCATTTATTAAGACAAAATAAAGAGAATAATGTGTTGTTATGTTTGATTGTATTTTTTTAAGAAATCCCTCATCTTCCTTATCAGACAATTGACAAAACATGACCTATTAATATTACGTAATTTAGTGTACTTCACCTCAAGGAGCTTACACATATAGGGCTACACTGTACAATACTACATGTAGGGCTATACTGTACAATACTACATGTAGGGCTACACTGTTTAGAGAGGATGAGGAAGGGAGTATAAAGGGCAAAAAAAAGCATTAAGGGTAGCTTTGTTGTCACCTACTGAGGGGGGAACTTCCCTGGAAGGTGAAGCATCACATAACTATATATGACTTTAATTCTTGACCTCATTGGTAACAGTAACAAGTACAGGGTTACAGTTGACCTCTCAGTGTTAACAGTAACAATTACAGGGTTACAGTTGACCTCTCAGTGTTAACAGTAACAAGTACAGGGTTACAGTAGCATCAGCATCTTTCTGACCATGATATGACCCCAGAGAATGATCTCCTGTCACTCAAATACAGTATCACATATTCATAAGTAATATACTATACCCTGTACAGTGTATATCTCTGCCCAGAGCATTATGGCTTATAATCTTGTTAATGATAAAGTATTACAGTATGTCTCATTGGGCATTGGAGTGCACATTGAGTAAAGAACCTGACGAGACCGTGCCATCCGGTAACTAGTTGTGGTTAACCCGTGTAAACGTGGAAAATGTCCATAAAACGATGATAATTATGATAACTACAGGTCTCAAGTTTTTGATGCGGTAAGATGCTTTAGCTGCATCTCAAGTTTGGTCACACATAATGGTGAAAGATTTAATTGTCCTTCCATCAGTGTAGGAGCAGTAAATTACTACAGCATGTTGGTACTTTACACTTTTCTGGTTCTCCTCCAGCCTACAATGCATAAATCAACATCCTCTTGATGAGTTTGAACCAATTTAGGTTTAGTTGGGTATGTGATATTCCCATGTTAGTAAAAACAAAGCATTAACCAGATCCTCCATCCCATACCTCAGTTGACTAAGCCTTGACCATGACCATCTCTTGAAGGGCAGGGAGTTCACTATACCAGTACAATACAGTACAAGCTCTACTTGACCCTCTGAGTTCTCATCATATGGGAATGTACACAAGAGTCCCTGAATCATGGTACCTTAGCCTTTAAATATTTCACCACAAACTCATAAAGTTAAAGAAACAGTAATGGTCATAACCATGTGTGATGTGTCCCAGTTGAAGAAAGAAAAGGTAAACCAAGTAATTTAAACTAAAGGATCACTGGATGACCATGTATTATACACATTAATGTATCTAAATCACAGTTTTCACCTTAGTATACAGTATCTCAGATACTGAGGATATGTTACCTTGGTATTATTATAACTTTGTAACTCCTTAACTTTGCATTACATAATATTATACTGAGTGAGTTAAGGGACTTCCAGATTATGTGAGAATAAATGTGTAAGATATGCAACATGCAATCCAAGGTTGTCACACTCTCAGCACTGCTTGTTTGGTTATTACTAGAATTAAAATTTAAATCATCTCTAACACACCCCAATTTAAGAGAAAGTGTAATAAAGTACAATATACTCATTAAATTTATTGTTGGTATACAAGCACATAATCATGTTGACAAACTCAATGGAATTTAATTTTTAAAAATATTTAAACAAGATATTTTTAAACCATTAACACAGAGAACTTCCATAACACAACCCAACACCACAGTACTGTGTCACCTTTGGAAAGTTTTGTCAAGATCAGAATATGTAAATAAATAACACAAAATGGAGTAAATGGTTGTTTTAAAGAAGCTTCTTTTGAATGTTGTACTTAAATAATTACTCCAAAAAGACCCACAGAGAAGTAACACAATGATCACTGAAAACATGAAGCTCTAATTGAGTGATGATAGAAAAGGTGCCACGGAAAGTGAAATAACACAACATACTGTACATTGGAATAATACAAGTGTCACAAGTAAAAGGTGAATTATACAGGTGCCACAGGTAAAAGGTGAATTATACAAGTGCCACAGGTAAAAGGTGAATTATACAGGTGCCACAGGTAAAAGGTGAATTATAAAAGTGCCACAGGTAAAAGGTGAATTATACAAGTGCCACAGGTAAAAGGTGAATTATACAAGTGCCACAGGTAAAAGTTGCATACCTAATATGGTATATCTATTTGAAAATCATCAGAAAATATGCTGATGAGGAAGACACTGATACTCACAACCAAGGTATATAAAAGTTTGTTGTTGTACTGTACAATTAGAGGCTGCAAGGGCTTACTGATGCTGTACCGAGATTTTTCATTGGTTGTATTTTCTCTAACTTTTACCACAGCCATACTGTACTGTATATAATTTCTTGGTGTAATGTTAAACTGAACTACAGTAATTAAAAAAAAGTGAACTTTCACCTGATAACACATCCTAAGACAGATAAGACCGGTAACTGGTTTGGAGCGCAATTTAATGGTATTAATATACCTAGATATAAATGCAGTACTGAACATGTAAGCACAAGTAATCTCTGGGAATAAGAACCTAATTCAGTATTTGGAGGTATAGAGATGCTTAAATAAATGTATCTCAGTAATTTAATGTCAAGTCTTCTCTCTTTTGTTCCCACCCCCCTCCCAGCATACAAGCCTTTTCTTGTTATGATGCAGAAGTGACTGGACTGGTGTTGATCCCTGATTCTTAGCTTTCAATAGCTAGTGCATTAAAGTTATCACAATACCTTTCCTACACCCACTGTGTGTTATCTTTACTCCTCTCCCACTTTGTGTAGGAGGATCAATCTTCAAGGGGAGAGTGGTGGTACAGTGCAGTATAAGACAAACACTGAAAGCGTCAAATAAATAATGCTATAACATGGAGAAATACCCATACATACTTCTTCACATCTTTTTCCTCTTGTCTTACAGGGTAAATAATTTCCAAGACCGAGACAGGTGGCAAGTCATTATATTCCTTAAAAGACTGTCAACAAGATGTAATGTACCTATGCCACCTGTTTCACTGCCTGCACCACACAGCTAGGATTCAAAATTTCAATCCAATAACCATCAGGATCTTGAATAAATGCAATATTTTTCATTGTACCTGAAAAAAAAAAGAGAAGATAATTCAACCAAGTTGCACTAATAGAAAGTAATGCTGAAATACCTACTATAGTCTTAAGATGTAACTGTGAAACTTTTGACTTGTAAAGAAGATATTGTACTGATGAAACTTATGAATGAATTTTATGGATATATACGATACAATATTGATTTAAAACTAAAACTCCTTTTAAGATCCAGAAACAAGTTTTGTACAGAAAATTTAAGTGCAGGCTAAGCACCAGCCCGAGGAGAGGTCTCGACAGTGTTAATCATGTAATAGTGCAGTAGAGCAAATTAAGCCTAGTCATTAATATCATAGAATGGTGAGCAATTTTTTTTCTTCTCTAGCATATCCTCTTAAGCCAGGTGGCTCTTGTATTAGAGACTGCTTATTGGGGGTTCTAGATTATGAGATTAACCCCATTACATCAGCCAGGGTTAAGCTGTTAATGTTAATCTAATTCAGATAAATTGGTGACCCTTCCCATCTCATCACACCCAACAAACTAACATACTGGTCTATTGTACTATGCTTGCACTCAACTTGGGTTAACTATAGTTAACACATCTAACTCCACTAGACTGCTACCTTTCATCAGTAGAGAAAGCAAATCACTTCCTGGTTCCAAAAGTAAATGTAATGGACTGGGAGTTTCTTGCCCTGGTTTATAATCACTGGAGCAGTAATTGAGTTCATTTGGTATCGGGTTAATAAAACATTATAGCACAGCAATAAATTGTCACACACAAAAAAAATATCACCTCATGCGGTACAGTAATACTGTACCTCGCTACTTGCAATTAATGATAATTAATTTTGTCTCTTTCTCTTCTCTTCCAATTTAATGGAATATTTCTGCTGGTTATCATTGTTTAATTTGGTTTATTTTAGTTGTGATAAAGGTTTAAAGTGCGGTTGTGCATTTATCGTGTGTGGTGGGGTTTTGTGAGTGGGGTCCATATGTGTTTTCATAATGGAGTTTTGTTCTTTATGTATGATGATATTTAACCTTCGAGAGAGGGAATATAGGGAAGAGAGAGAACAAAGATGTGTACTATGAGAGCAACACCTAAGGGTTTGTGAAGCATCTCAGATACACTTGAGGGCAATAACAAATTATTTTAAATATAACTGATACAATATTTTGACTAAATATTTTTTTTTGTATTGGTTAGGTATGACAGAATTAAACTATCAAATATAGGATAATATAAGGGAGGCAAACAACTACAGTCTGCATCATAGGTAGTGTAGAGTACTGTACATGCTAAGGTGGGTCACAGGTATCAATCTCACCTCCTTGGACTCCCATCTTTCATCACACTAGACTTACCATCAGTTGGTTTCTTGATAAATTTTGTTCCAAGAGACTCAAATCTTGCACAAGCTTTTTCCACATCTGGAACCATGATTCCAATATGTCCTAAAGAGAAAAAATATTATTGTTATCATCATTTTTAAATACTGTATAGGAAACTTTATATGTATTAACCTCTGAGGGGCTGATATGGCACTAAAGCCCCTCTCACAGGTGTACAGTATCATATTTTACCTGTAGTGTACATGGCTTAAAATGTTTCATTTCTTTGCTGTACAGTATTAGGCTTACTGTTGTATTGTCCATATTTTGTCTTATTTCTCAGTCAATATTTACAACATACACACTACATTATTTACAACACTTATGACTATGGTATAGAACACTGATATATGAACATTTTTTTTCCTTTTCTGGTTCTTTTCCTAAATTAATTGTTTGTGCAATGAAATTAGAGATAACATATTAAGAGCCGCCCTAAGTTTCCTATTCTCGTGAAAACATTTATCTCCAATTCTGGCACATGAATGTTTAGTCACTTACACACTTACTAACACATTATTATTAATTTATTTATATTAGCACTTCCTTTGAAGTATTATTTTGTTGAATAATCAATAGAAGCTTCATGTCATTTTTAGTACTTACTGTTTCTAAAAAAAATACATACGGGTACGGTATTCATATTTTAAATCGGTATCTCTTATCCTCTCTTTCATAAACCTACCACAGCATTAACTGTACACTGCTGTACTTACCAAAGCCTTTAGGTTCTGAATTTCCATTGTGATATCCAGAGAAATTGGGATCAGATTCTGTACCCCAATTGCTGAAACAATGTAGAACATTGGCAGAGGTTAATATTTGTATTATGGTGAAGAAACTTTATGCCATAAGCAATATAATTTAAGCTTTTTAACTTTTATAAAAACATAAGAAATGTTAATAAAATATTCACCACCCTGTCCTGTACAGTACTGTATTATACAGAAGTGGAAATAAAGTTTTCCCTCTTGCTAACTACAATATTTTACCCATCAATCATACAGACAAATTAGAAGAATACAGCTCACCTTGAGCTGTTAATATACTAAAAAAGTAACAATACAAACACCCCAAAGAGAAAGTCAACTAACTGTGTCAGCTCCAAAGTGGCCTTCTGTGAAAGGCACCAAGTTGTCCTCTCATCTTCTTCCTGTGGAATATCCTTAGCTGACTCAAAGCCCATGAAGTACAAAGAAAATTTCATGGATGGAAAGTTCAGCTTTTGTAGTAGGCGCATGCCCAATACTCGAGTGTAAAAGTCCAAAGAGGCTTTTGGATCTTTGATGCGGAACATTGTCTGCTGGAAGATGAAGTCCTGTGGAATAAAACAGAAAATTAGTCATATTACACTACGTACTACTGTACAAAAATTCCAGCATATCATTGTTTTACTTGAGGCAGTTCTGTTAGCTCCCCACTCAACAGTACAGTAGTCCACCCAACTCCTGCAACAAGACTGGACTACATCCATAACACTGTGAGCACCAGTTTCCTAAAGGACTATTTTTGGAAATATCCATGTGTCACCTTCCTTGGATGGAGCCTTCTGCAAGTGTTGAATACTGTACCCTCCTCACCTCACCGGAAAAATCACCTTAAAATCTGGCTAACGAGCTGATCAGTGGTGAAGAGGATAAAGGTAAAATTAAAAAATGCTCAACTTTTAGCGACCAAATTTACACAAACTGATTTTAAACACTTTTTGTATGCTTTTAATTTTTAAATTAAATTTTTAGAACATTCTCTTAAAATTGGAATGAGTTCCTTCAACATTAAGGGAGATAGTGTATGAAGTGGACCACAAAATATATATATTGGGTCTACATTGTTGAGATCATCTGGTGAGAGCCACACATATCTTTGTGGGCATTGCCTTAGGAATTTCACTGAAACATACTTTTTTTCCCTTCTAACAATCTGTCTACATAATACATATCACCATAGTACTGTACTGTATACACAAATGTGTATAGTCCAGTAGATTAGCCCATAGGCTTTGAAATACCCCCCAAAAAAATGTCTTGCCACAAAAAAACAAACAAAGAGTATTAAAGAAATACACAAATAGTGGTCAAAATCATCTCAGGTTGAGAAATTGCCTAGGGTAAGTTTGACCACATATTTAAATAACTGCAATAAAAAAGTTCCATTTTATGCATGAGACACCTATCAAGGTTTAATTACAGTAGACCCTTCCCATTCATGGGTTTGTGATACACGATTTCGAGGATTTGCGGTAAGCAGATGGTGGCTAGCTTTTTCCCACAGCACAACGAGTCGCCCCCCCATGCAGCATCTCGTGTTGTACTCTCAAAACTTTAGTGTTTCTGTGAGAAATGGCCCCTAAAAGACTGCCTAGTGTCAGTGCTAGTGATGCTAGTGGAGTGAAATGTAAAGGGCAGAAGTCAGTGATGACCCTGACAAAGAAAGTTTTATTATTAGATAAGTTAGAGGGGATGAGTGCTGCCGCGGCTGGTCGGTTGTTTGGTATAGGTATACAGTAGTGCACTAAGGTAGTATAAGTTACTATTCGGGCCATTCCTTGGAACCTATCCCTCAAGAATAACAAGAGTTTACTGGACTGTACAGTATATCATTTACACTGTGTCCAATATTTCACATTTATAGTTAACCTACAGTAATAAAGTTAAAGCAAAATTTAAAATCAGAAAATTAAATTTTTGGCAACTTTTTTTTCACTCCTTTGTTTGTATTTCTATGGATTTATTATTAATGTTTGTCCTGAGATTCTACAGTGGAACACTTGATGTGAAGGAACTAAACTAAGAGTTGAGTGTTTCAAATGGGTAAAAAAAAAAAGAAACCATTGTGAACTTTATTGACAGTGGGCAAACACTCACCCCCTAATTCTTGGGGTAATGGATCCACAAGTTTGAGGACTATATAAATCACATTTTGTCAGTGTACTGTAGTGTATAAGGCTTACTTTTGTTGCTTCATCAGGTTCAGCACAGCAGGCAAGAGCCTCCTCCTTAGTCAGGCCAGCTGGTTCCTGAGCCATGGTAGACACTTCAGTACTGTACTGTTGTTAGAAGTCTGAAAAAATAGAAAACTAAATGGCTGTGTTTGAGATAGATACCATACTCTTACTGATGCTTAATGAATGCTTTTCTATGCCCCCATATTAAATTTACATACTGTACTATGTATTACAATATGCAGTGATGAAAACATCTTAAAAAAAAATAAAAAATAGCTTAGGAATTTACTTCGCTACAGAATCCAATCCAACTAAATTCCTACGCTTTTTCAGAACCCTACAGAACTTTGGAAACAGCAAACACAACTGAATCTTTAAAATTAACGTATAGATTCAGTTTTGCAATTTCATAACTGACCCTATGTAAAATGGATCATGTGGCTGCGTAGGTCAAGTACAACCAATTCATAAATTCTATTATATTTCTGGCACAAATTTATGTTTTTTGAGTATTTTAACCAATAAGACATCCCCATTTACCAACAATACTGGTTGTTCAAAATGAGCAGTAGAGGGAAAATGTGGAGTACAATATTAGAAATAAAACCTTACCTAACTTGTAAAAAATTAAAAAATATGTCAATGCTTGAGAACACTACTACCACCAGAAGGAATTGTTCAACTATGTTCATTTTTTCCACAAATGTTATCATTATAAAAGAGGCGACATTTAGTAGAACCTAATAGAACCTGACCTAACCAACCACAGAAACCTACCTAACTTCCTAGCTGGGGGACGGAACCCTCGTCATATTAAACAGAAATTACTGTACTGTACTTAGCCAATCAGAGTGCACTCAAGGTAAAATAGCATTAGTAGGAACTAAGCCAGTCACGGCAAAATATCCACTATGTATATACAAGGATACACCCCAATTCGTCACCACTAACAGTCGCTGGTATTAGTGACAAATTGTAAGTTATTATTTTACACATGTGTATAGACGACTCGAAAAGTATTGTGTTATTATTATACATGAATATTAATTTAATAAAGAAACGATTAAAACGTTTTTTCTGGTAAGTTAGGAAGGTTGCTTTAGGTTGATTGGTTAGGTCAAGTTCTAATGGGCTCTGTGCATTCTCGTTTCCATTTATATATTTATTAGATTCGTAATAACATTTCCACAGTGTAAAAGATAAAAGTAAAAGAAAAGCACCTGACAACTGGACAAATATCCAGCCTAAAATTAAAACTGAGTGAACTGAAGATAAAAACCTCTGATTATTAAAGCTTTGATAATATTTTTAGAATGACATTCATATATATATATGTACAGTACATACAACTTATAGATACTATATAACTTACTGTTACTGAACCTCTCTGTGCTCCGGGTCACCCCTGTACCCTAACTGATCCTCTTGGAGAAAACAAGCTAACCAAATAAACTAACTTCAATTTACTTTTATATTTAAATTTTAGGGATATATTCCTCACTTGTAATTTAAATTAGTTTTACATCAGGACTTTGCATTTTCTTTAAGGGTGTCATTGCTCTTACAGATGTCATCACCTGAAAGTTTTTTTTTTTAATTCTTCAATATTTTCATTTATACAGTACTTAATCTTCATTGCCGCATGTGCGAAAACATTCAATTAACACACAGGTCAAGAAGTGAAGATGGTTCTGGAAGTACAGCCACAGGTGTTTTTATTTTTAGATATATGGGCAAATCGTTGACTCTATTTTCCAATTGAATTATATATGTGTTCCCTCGGGATACTGAATGTGTCTTCGGCCAACCGGGAGCCATGTTGTTGCTGAGCTGAAGTTAGCGCTCGTACTGTAGATGATGATGATGATGATGATGATGTTGTTTATTCAATACAATAGTCATACGTGTTCACAATTGGATAAGCATATTCATAAACTATGTGGGAGAGAGCCCGAGAAGATTTCCCACCCGCTGAGTGACAACATGGCGCCCGGTTGGCCGAGAAGCAGCAAAATTAAAGGCTGATAAGCCGCTGTGTGTGAGAAATGTTCGTTTTCTTTGTTTTTTCTTATTTTTTCTTTTTAACGGGGAATAGCCCATCCGGGCACAGGTCATCGACCCACAACGGTGCCCTAGGAGGGGGGGCGAAAAATAAGAGTAAAAATAAATTAAAGATAGAAGAGAAAAAGATTAAATTAATCTACACCACGAAGATGCCGGAAACCCAGTTAGTTAATTAGTTTAACAAATTTATTGGCAGAGCTTGTAGTACAGTTTGTCTATTCTGAGTAATTCAGTCAGGTCTTGACACTGAGGGTGGTATCACTTCTCACTGCCACGCAGGACAGAGGTTCATACACAAAGAAATACATCATTCATTAACAGCTATATATGTATAGAGGTCAGATTCATGTGGGTAATGTCACTCTTCACTGCCATGCAGGACAGAGGTTCGTACACAAAGAGATGCATCATATTCATGACACTATACATAGGTCAGATTCATGTGGGTAATGCCACTGTTTACTGCCATGCAGGACAGAGGTTCGTACACAAAGAAGGAAATACATCATATTCATTAGCAGTATATATGGGTCAGTGGATCACATACATTGGAGTCATATTCTAATTGAAGACTAATCAGTGTGGGCTAGCAAATTTGGGATAAACAGCAAGAATATCCTCAAGCACCCCTGATTCATTGTAGTAATTACATAGTTCAAGATACAATAAGTCAGGTGGCCTGAAGACTTTGACAGTGTCACATTCAATAATATAGTGTTCAAGTGTATGCTTTAGAGGTTTATCACAAAGTTTACATGCTGAGTGTTCCGGTATAGGTACAACGTTACTAACTTGCCAGATGTGTCTGTATCCTAGCCTAATTCTGGCCACGATTACATCACATTGTCTGGTTCTGTCCTTATGCTGGCCATACCGGTACCTCTTGTCACAAAATTTGTCATATTTACTAATGCTACAACTGCCAGGTCTCTCTGCATTTCTCACTTCTTCTAGAACAGAGTTCATGATTCTGACTTGAATGTCTTTAATTACAGCATTGGACAGGCCAAGGTCACGGTCAACATATTCCTTCTTACATGCCTCATTGGCCAGTCTATCAGCACGGTCATGATACCTGATTCCAACATGGGATGGAATCCACACAAATTCGATACGAAAGTTGTGATCAAAATGCAATACTTACTGAATACACTGTTGTCAAGTGTGAACCCCATCCTAAGCTCAGAATTAACATCCCAGATAATCTTAAACTGCACTTCAAGGCCTATATCCACAGATGGTATGCTGGATATACACCTGGGTCAGTGGATGAATTTTGCTGTGATCTTGTAAATGTCATTACCACATATTATACCACCTGGCTTAAGTCAAGGCCGGAAACCCAGCTTTTTGAAGTGAGAAAGATTGTATGAGTATGGAAACACAGAAGGCAGAGCATTCCACAGTTTGGCTGTGTGAGGAAAGAAGGCTGTATACCATAACGGGTTATTCTAGAATCTAGTGTGACCGACAGCCACAGAGCATAAGAGAAGGGGGGTGACGTGACTAGTCAGGTCAGATAAAAAATAAGGGACCCACTAAATAACTATCATACATCTAGAGCAAAGGTTTTCAAAGCATTTTTAACCTTGAGCCACTGACAAATAAATTTATGTAACATTATCAGTTTTGAACTGATCATCACTAAGGTTTATTGATTTTAATTCCTTAATCAAACTAGCTTCAACCAGAAGTCTTTCTGTGACACAAGATGATTTAAATACTTCTAAGCTTTTTTCCCAAGCAATGGGATGATTATTATTCCTAACATGAACGAACAAGGCACTGCTTTCAGAAGCTGTTCTGATATACCTGACCTGACTAGTCACGCCACCCCCCTTCTCTTAAGCTCCTCTACGTGTGTGTTGGTGTGGGGATTAGTGGATGACATCATTATGACCTGACCTCATGTTTTTAAGGTCACCCTGTATATTTAAGCCTCTCTCTGTCCATGTAATCCAGTTGCCTCTGAAGATGTCTTGAATTAAGACGAAAGCTAAGGTGCTCCGTTGTTTCCCTTTTCCCGTGTGATTTTATCAAGATTTATCTTATCCACGTTTTCATTGTGGATCTACATGAAATAAGGTTCATATCTAGGAGTGTGAGTAACAGAACTGCTGACGTTATCTTGAAACTTTACCTAGCATTAGTGAGGCCACACATGGATTATGCGGTTCAATTCTGGTGTCCTTATTATAGAATGGACATAGATTCTTTGGAGAGAGTACAAAGAAGAATGACAAAAATGATCCATAATATTAGAAACCTTCCATATGAAGAAAGACTGAAAAGCTTAGGCTTGCATTCATTAGAGAGGCGTAGAGTTAGGAGAGATATGATAGAAGTGTTCAAGTGGGTAAGTGGGATTAACAAGGGTAAAATGGAAGATGTTCTGAAGCTCAGTAATAACGAAATAACTAGAACAAATGGCTTTAAATTAGATAAATTCCGGTTCAGAAAGGATATAGGCAAGCACTGGTTTGGTAATAGAGTTGTGGATATGTGGAATAGGCTACCGAGTGCTATAGTAGGATCGGGGACGCTAGGGAGCTTCAAGACGAAGTTGGATAGGCACATGGAAGTGCTGGGATGGGTGTGAAAGGGATCTGCCCTGTATGGGCCAGTCGGCCTCCTGCAGTATCCCACTTTCTTATGTTCTTATATTTAACTTGAAATGTATAGACTTAAAGAATGAATTATAGTCTACACGTTACGTGGTAATTGTAATCTAATAAGATTTAACTAATAAGGTTTATCATTTTATCCTTACCCATAATGGCATTCGCGCTCTCTGTAACTCCGGACGTCCGTCACAAGTTTAGAGGTAAGTGACTCAAGCTATGGCTGCTTCCCATGTTGCCTCTCACAGCTAAGTCCATTTTTTCCCAAGACGGCGGCGTCCACAACTCTAACTGGACACTAGCTTGGACTCTCATCTTACACTCTCTGTTCACTTGCTCTGGCATTGTGTTGAAGTTTAATTTCGACTCTACGATCTGCTCACTGCCCGAGTTTAAATTCATATCGGTAGAATTTGGAGATATAGATAATATTACGTACAACAATCTTTCGGTCTTTCCTCACTGCACCGGATAAAAGTTCCTAGTAATGGCGCTTCATTCGCTCGTCTCCACAAGTGGCAGAGAACACTACAGCGTGTATGAAGGTACCGTAAATCACTATGTTGTGCAGTGTTACTATGGTGGTGACCGTGAGGTGAGTCGAGAGTGGCGCGCTGCATGCACTTGACAAGGCTTAACTACCAATACGATCTTTAAATATTATTTTATCCGGATATGTATCTGCGACTGCACCTCTTGGACTATGTACATTCGATTAATTTATTTTCTGCATTTGAATATTAATGATATGGCAAAGCTGGTGCAATATCACAATGATGTATTAATAAGGAGTATTCATGTATTATTGGCAACTGATTGCAGTGGTCGGTGACTAACCACGGAAGGAATTGCATCATACACTTATGTTGCCTTGTCAAGCATATACTGTATAGGCACAAACTAATATGACTAACAGGTGACAACTAATTATACTACAAATAATGTCTAATATAAATAATAACTATTTAAATAATAACAACGAAAAATAATAACCAATTTTAACTCTTTTTATAGAACAACTAATCAATACTAATAACAAGGGCGGTAGCTTGCATAGCGGAGGAACGGGGACGGGTACCAAGAGCACAGACGTTACCGAGAACAAATTCCGGCTTGAATGTTATGTACACTAATGTCGACACGTTCCTTCATAAAAGAGAGGGGTTTGAAACACTACTGAAGGCACATTAACCCGACGCAGTAGGACCTGATTGCTTTTTTACTCCCACTTACCCCGGGGTTTCGCCAGTAGAGAGAGGTCGGGGTAAGTGGAAGTAAAAAACAAGCAGGTCCTGGGGAGTAAAATTGGATTTCTGCAGCTACCCTGAGAGATTAGAGCGTCTGCAATTGCTTAACTTATACTACAGACGGGCAAGGGGTGACCTAATTGGGGTGTATTAGCATCTCAAGGGGCACTACTCAGGTGAGTGTCCTTACTTGGAGCTGGCGGACGCTCGCCCCACAAGGGGTCACAGCTCAAGGTTAAAGAAGCCACAAATCCAGAAAACTGTAAAGGCAAACTTTTTCGGAGTGAGAGTTGTAAACTCTTGGAACAATCTACCAGAGAGTGTTGTGACGGCACCGAGTGTGAGCTCTTTCAAGACAAGACTTGACCAACACTGGAGCAAGCCACTAACGAGCCGATCAGTGGTGAAGAGGATAAAAGTAAAAAAAAAAAGTAAAATAAGAATGAAATATTTTTAAAGTGGACCACAAGGAATTAATCAATTCAGTGGAAGATTTGGTTTTATCCTTAGTAGAAAAAACAACTAAGGAGAACACAAATTAACTCTTACTTCAGCTGAGATGATACGATGGATGAGTGAGTCTTAGAACAGATGCTGATTGACCAGTGGTGGCGCTCTTCCTTTCTCTTGTACTGTACCCCTCCGAGTATTACTAATCCTTAATTTGTCTTAGTGTGCCTCATTGTGGGTAAAAATAAGTATATATTAAATGCATCCTCCGAAAGCGTGAATTTGCTACCAGAGTTTAACAGTTAATTCATGTATAATACTTGGGGAAGGGTGTTACTGTATCCAGTTTCCTCCCGTACTATCACTGGATATTAGAATTCATATCAATTAAAAGAATTTCTAAACCATTAAAATAAAATTGTCTTGAAATTACACTGAAGATTACTTTTATATGTTCAAAAGACTACACAAAAACAACTAAATTTTCAGAGGTTCATTTAAGGAGTACAATAGTTAACACCACACGCAGGATGCAGCTGCACGGGGTGTTATTTTTATCTTATTTTTCTATTATATTAAACGCCATGTCACTAAACGTAACGAGATAAGGAAAACTCTTCTCCTTGCTGGCGGAGCTACATGTTGTAACCTATTTCGATTAACTGGGTGGTGGTTATGGTGGTGATGATGGTGGTTGTGAAGATGGTGGTTGTGGTGTTGATGGTGGTTGTGGTGATTGTTGATGGTGGCGATGGTGGTGATGATGATGTGGTTATAAAGACCAGCATTTTGGATATAATTTTCATTATTTTAGGCGACTGGTTGTCCTTAACACTGTCACAACACCACCTTGAAACTGTACCTCCTACACCGTAATGTTATTAAACAATTCAAAGTTAAAATTGAAAAGTTTATAGCCGATAAAGCTATAGCAAGAGAAGCTAGTGCATTGTTTATATTAATTACTAACCCTAAACTAGCGTTGAAGTGAGCCCCAAGCCAAGGAGAGTAAAAAAAAAATTAAAAGGAGTACAATTGCAATATAATGCTTGTTTTATTTAACCATAAACTCTGACGTTTATTTTTATAGATTAACTGTTGCACTCGAGCTGATCAGTGGCGAAAAGGATAAAAGTAAAACACCTAAAAATATTACTGACAATTTACAGAAAACCTAAGTGGTGACGTTGGAACACAAGTGACTACCAGTTCAAGGTGTCACAATACAAACATTTAATAATATCCTGAAGTTCTTGTGTTTACAGAATAAAATTAGAAGCCAAAGATTGTCACTCTCAGGTTATCCACATTGACGTGTTGTGTCAAGACGTGGGGATAACTGTACTTCAAGATATGAGGTAATGTTACTTCTATTTTTTTTTTAACTTCATCAATTCTCCTCCGATCGGCTGTGGATATTTAAGCAGTTGTTGGTTAGGTAGGCTTTTTAGACTAACACCAGGAGTTGATATAATTGGATGAAATTTTGTAGAAACGTTATTAATAATCTAATAAATAGATAAATGGAAACGAGAATGCACAGAGCCCATTAGAACTTGACCTAACTAATCGACCTAAAGTAACCTTCCTAACTTACCAGCAAAACCTTTTAATACATTCTTAACCGTACTGACTGGATTACTGTTTCCATTTATCTATTTAATAGATTGTAATTAATGTTGCCACAAAGTTTAGTCCAATTCTATCAACTACTACTGGTTTTATTCTAAAAACCTCTCTAACTGACATGCAATAGATATATTTCATCATTCTGGGTAACTTTCATTCTATACACTTCCGTGACAAATGAATAATTATGAACCTAATAGAACCTTACCAACTGAAGAAACCTACCTAACCTTAGCTAACTTCCTAGCTGGGGGCCTCCGTCCCCAAGACCCCGTGCCATATTGAGTAGAAAGTACTTATTTTGTTATCTGGTACTATTGAAAGTAACTTTGTTGAAGTATCATGGTATAATTTCACTTTTTTTTGTGAGAATGCTGTACTGTGTGCTGGGACCGAACGGGTCGGTTATAAACAAGCAGACGACAATGAGTGACTGTAGATTTTTCAGAGGAGTATTTATGGTAGATGAGCAAAAATGTAAATATATTGCTTACACATAATTTGCTATGGAAATGCCATAATGAGAAATGATAGAGATGGGTGAGGTTTACCGATAGCAACTATTCATTTGCAGATATCTTTTGCAAGTCTACTTGTGAAATAATACCTATAATTTGCCATGGTAAAGATTCAGAAAAGGTCGACCGCGAAACTCTATACAGTCTCTCCTCGACTTACAATGGGGTTCCGTCCTGACAACCAGGTCGTAAGTCGTAAAGGCGAAAATAATACATAGAAATTCTAAAATGGGTGTCTCTTTTTCTTCTCAGCACCACGAGAACTCTCACTTTTATGCTTGCCAGCCATTTTAAAGGGATTTACAAACAAAAATTTTGTCAGTACACTGCGCAATCACTAACGTCGGGACTCGAAAATACATAATGTGAAAAATATTTATACGACCATGGTCGTCGTATGTCCAGGTTGTCGTAAGTCGAGGAGAGACTGTATTGATTTGTATCTACTAGGGAGATAGACCAAAAAATATTTAACTTCAATTTAGCACATGACCTACTATACTACAGGATGAAAAGAGGTTCTTATATAGAACTAGGATCTGACCTAACCTCCTGTCCAGCCCCTCCCTCAGATCCCCCTACGTGAAAACCTAACCTATCCCAACAAGACAAAAGGAACCTAACGAACCCTGAAATAAAATTCGGAACAACACAAAAATATAAGTTTCCGATGAAAATGTTTTGATTAAATACTGTACAGTATTCTTATTTTTTCCATGGTTGAAATTTTCTGAATCTTAACCTTTATCATTCATAATATGAACCAAACTAACCTACCTAACCTAACCTTATACCTGCAATTTCCACATGTTCTTCCTTCCCAACACTTGACGGTCACATGTAATTGCTGGTCTTAAGAGATCCAACCAAAACATTCTGCCAACACCACAAACAGTGGAGTCATTTATCTTACTTTACTTAACTTTATCCTCTTTGCCACTACTGTATTTGGCCTGCTAGTTGCTTGGGTGGTTGGTCACGTCTGTTACACTCTGTTAGCAAGTACTGTACTTGGTCCAGAGTTTACCTGAACCTATGCCTCTGTTGATCAATTTTGTACTTAGCTTCCCAAATGCAAATATATATACCCTGTACTGTATTGTATATATACAGTAATTTGTAATTTTTGGTCTTTGAGTTCATGGGAAATAGTATGGCCTGTGGAAATGCAAGACAAATTCCAATACAGCCCTCCAGATGAGAAAGGTAACAAGAAAATACAAATATTTGGTAATTTTTGTTTTATCCATAATTAGAGCAGTCCCCGGAATTTTTCCATGTGCTGAGGAATGTTTGAAAGGTATGCAAACACCACTGTACACATACAATGTACTGTATACTGTATTGTAAATAAACAAAATTTACCACTGTATACACTACAGTATACTGTACCAAGAATTCTGGCACTACAGTATAGGAGATTGGAGCATTCAATGTTAAATTTTTTATCCTCCTCCAACAGTGTCGTCGCCAAGCTACCGCCTTACATGTGATAACACCAGATTATTAAATAATTTTTTTCTTTAAATTATAGCGAGTCAGTAGGTTATTGACATCCAACTTTAGATATCTCGGGATAATTTCTCAATGCAACACATTGATTATTTTTCAGTGAATGATATTATTTGCCCACTTAAGGGCATATACTATGATATTTACTGTACTAGGTTTGGGTGAAGTAATTAACTTGTTTACCCAAACCTTTGTCAGCTAGCATCCCAAGTGATTGTTTCTATTTTCTTCTCATCTTTTAGAAGCTTTTCAATGCTTTTTGCTTGAAAACAACTGTTAATGTGTGAGGTCTTTCACACTTTCTGAGAGACCACGCACATCAACAAGTGAGGACAATTTTGCTGCTGTAATGCAAGCATTCGTGCACTTGACATGAAAAATTGTACAGCAATGTACAGGTACAGTATACTCATTTCTTATTTATTTATCTTCGGAGACACCTTAAACCTCCAGATTATGCCACTAACTTAATCATTAACACTCATGTTTTCTTTTTAATATTACTGTACTGTACAGTATTTATTACCAAGTAATAATACACATTGATCATGTATTATGGAAGCTTTTATTATAAATAAAATATAGGTACAGTACCTTTGAGGTCATGGTATATGTACTGATGAGTACTTCATTACATAAGTATTAGATGAAAGCAAATAATAATTTTTCTTTGCCAGCTTTTGCTTAGACAGTTGAAGTTATTATGCTGAAGAACACTCACACTCATTAATTTCTCGGAGCCGTAATTGACAGTAATTACAGTGCATTATAATATTAACAATTTCAAAGTGTAATTTACTCATAGTCAACTACAGTATTCCTGAACTTAGTGTGGGTATAGTTTACTACCTGATGGACTACACCTTAAGCTGTGCCGGTTGACACACAACGTTCATTACGCATTTTCCAGTTTTGGGCAGCCTCACTTCACACATTTGGGGGCACTTCCGGAAGGGAGGCTCCACAAAAATGTAATACACATGCTCATTAACACCGAAATCCTGGTTGTCAGAAGTCATTGTCGTTGACATCTTGGAACTGATGGTCGTTTGTGTCGTGCCTGCCAAAATGGGCATCTCTGTAGAAAGTCTAACAGGCACTGCTGGTTTAAATTTTGGTGATGTGATGTTTGTAGTGTTTGGCATGAGTAAAGATGTGAGGACTGGCATGAAATGAAGGGGCTGGTGGGGCACTTTCATGTCACGGGGTTGTAGGCTGGCTCTCAAGGAGGTGTCCACAATCATCCTGGGCTGTAAATTGCCATTCCTGTGATTGTTGTCCTCACTTAAGGTGCCTGGGTGGCTCCTGGCCTTCACTGTGAGCCCTGGAATTATTACCATCATTAAAGTCTGGACATAATAAAACAATGGATGGAGACAAATTTTATTTGGGAGAATAAGTAAAATCTTGTGAGTACAGGTATGAAAAATTCCTTATACTGTACTGTACTAGCATGTATCACGTCCTCCACACAAGGAAGGTGCCCCCATGGTAGGCTACACACCTGTCACTGGTGATATGTCATGGATCAAATTTTTCTACTTCACCATTTAACCAGAAATGTTGTGGGAACCTGCTCGAAGTGCACTGGGAGCAAACACTGACCAGTAAAGCAGGACACTGATGTGATAACTGCTACACTACCAAGGTGGTTGGAGATGTGTATAATGTATTTTATAATTACATAGGGATAATGAAGTTAAGGAGTGAACAAAGTAAACTGATATGTATCATAAATAATCTTGCACCAACAGAAGACCTAAATTCTCATGTTCTATGTCAGTAGTTATCTTTGGTGTAATGAGGAAGTCATGTGATGCATGTGACGTTACATACAGTATATTATAATACGTATAGTAGACACACAACTTCCAGGTGAACAAAGGTGAATGAGATAACAGAAACTGTGTGTTTGGAGACAATTTCTTCATGGTATCAAATGTTTATGCCACTTATTTATCTTGAGTGAAAACTAAAAATATCAAATTAAAATCCATTTGTCTCTTTAAAGGAATTTTCAAACTGTTAAATAAGAAGAATTAAAACAAAATGATAATTAAGAGAGCAAGGTTCATCCCTGTTGACACCACATCTGCTGACACTCAACAGCAACAAAAAGTTTATCTTTAGTCAATTAAATCATTATCAACACAAGTCAGTCCGTTACTTTCAAGTGTTATTTGCATATCCATCGGCTCTCCCAGACACTCAAATCTGAACCATCATGAGCCACTTTATACTGTATATTGTAATGTTTTCTAATCCTGGAGTGCTGGTTATAATTGATATGCCCCATCTGTATACCTGACCAACACGTATCTATACAGTACAATGGAAAACTGAAAAGGTGTCACTGCCAGAACAACACTACATACACAGCTGAGAGTAAACATACAAGCCACAGATGCAACATTAGTCACAGTGATCAACACCTTATGATGGGTTACATTTTTTTATACAGGCTTAAGAAACACTTGAAAGGTGTCTCTTGGTATAATACATACACCTGTTGATGCCTAGAAGTACACTACATACCTGAAGACACCACACACTTATGGTGGTGTGTGGGACTCACCTAGGGAAGTGGGTGATGTGTGGGTGGGTGACAGGAGACTCCCGCAGAGAGCCAGAACCATGCAGGTGAAGTGCCATGTCAACATCGCACTGCTACACGTTGATACACACACACACACACACTACCTGTACTAATAGAATATATTTCTGATTATCTTCATAAATAAAATGTTATACAAACGTGATATCATGTCCCACTTGGTACAGTATTGTCAGAATTATGTTGTCATTAAGATTCCTACAGTTAATATTCCTCCTAAATGTAAATATGCCCCTACAGTATGGATGCTTTAGTTAAAACTGAAAAATAGTGTGTGTGCATAATTTTGAGACCACCGAATCTGTATCTTTACTACAGTACAGTACATGCATTCACTTGTCACCAGTCAGGAGCTAATTTACAAAATTAAAATACAGATTCTGCAAATTAAGTTTGTCCAGTACAGTACTTGCTACAACTCTTTGCGGGTTACCTTGCCATATTAGTTACTGATGAAAGTCAAGTCTTCTTTAAACAGAGTACCGGGTAACTAAGGCTATTTATTCACTACCCCTGATACCTCCCACTATACAGTACTGTACAGTATAGTATTTTAATATCATTCAAATGGCTCACTGTTAAAGCTAGAATTGAATTGAAACTGTCTGATGACCTTTAGAATCATAAAGTAACATGAACCAATAAAATTGGACAATTTTCTTGAGCCTAGAAATGTGTGTGAAAATTCTTTTTCCTTAACAGTATAGTGCGTTAATTATGTCTCCCTGAAGCTGCCGCACTCAGTGGAGATTTTCAAAGAGCAAATAAAAGATATCCTTTTTGTGGAAATATGACTGTGATGGAGACTAAGTCTCCTGACAACAGTTTTAATAGCTTCTTTTTATACAGTACTAGCAGAAACGCTGCCGTCTGGGCGGCTCATTCGCTAGGCCACAGTAGGACGCCACCCTCCGGGAGGCTCCACATTGTCTCACTGTTCAGTCCCCAAACTTCTTCTTCCATCAATAGTTTATTAACGGTGTACTGTATGTAAGTTCCACCATGTTTTTCACTACAACGGTACAGCAAAGTAAATTTTTTTTAGCATTAAACTGTTATTATTTTATTGTCTAATCATCACTACATATAACACCACCCATCATCACTACATATAACATCATCCATCATCACTACATATAACAACATCCATCATCACTACATATAACATCATCCATCATCACTACATATAACATCCATCATCACTACATATAACACCATCCATCATCACTACATATAACACCATCCATCATCACTACAGATCGGTAAAGTAGTTTCCGAGATTCTCGTGCGGACACACACACACACACAAACAAACAGACTTCTTTGTTTTATAGATATAAGGTTGTACTGAAGTTGTAAAACTCAGCGAGTCTATCTTGATTTTTTCCCCAGAAATCTCTCCATTACTAGCTATTACAGTGCTGTTCTGTATTGTATAGTGCATGTATCAAGTTAAGGTCTCACTGTATCTTTATCATGGCCATTTCTGTTTTTAACTCCATTCATTTAAATAAGGATATATTTCATCTTCAGTTATGAGAGACATTCATCATGCAGAGGGCAGGATGGTTAAGGAAACTCTGTTTTAGTTGTTAAGGATTTTTCAATCATACAGCGGAAGGCAAGGTACAAAAAAGCCAGAAATCTGTCAGTTTTAATAACAAGTGTTTTCACTTACCAAACATGTAGTAGCAACTCAGGGATCTACCATCATTTTACATTTATAGAACATTAAAAGTACTGTATACTGTTGTAATTTTACCAGTTTACCTCGGTATGGGATAAGTTGTGACACACTGGGGCACATTGTAACAGTGTGAGGCAAGTTGTGACACACTGGGTACATTGTAACAGTGTGAGGCAAGTTGTGACACACTGGGGCACATTGTAACTGTGAGGCAAGTTGTGACACACTGGGGCACATTGTTACAGTGTGAGGCAAGTTGTGACACACTGGAGCACATTGTAACAGTGTGAGGCAAGTTGTGACACACTGGGGCACATTGTTACAGTGTGAGGCAAGTTGTGACACACTGGGGCACATTGTAACAGTGTGAGGCAAGTTGTGACACACTGGGGCACATTGTAACAGTGTGAGGCAAGTTGTGACACACTGGGGCACATTGTAACTGTGAGGCAAGTTGTGACACACTGGGGCACATTGTAACAGTGTGAGGCAAGTTGTGACACTGGGGCACATTGTAACAGTGTGAGGCAAGTTGTGACACACTGGGGTACATTGTAACAGTGTGAGGCAAGTTGTGACACACTGGGGTACATTGTTACAGTGTGAGGCAAGTTGTGACACACTGGGGCACATTGTAACAGTGTGAGGCAAGTTGTGACACACTGGGTACATTGTTATAGTGTGAGGCAAGTTGTGAGACACTGGGGCACATTGTTATAGTGTGAGGCAAGTTGTGACACACTGGGGCACATTGTAACAGTGTGAGGCAAGTTGTGACACACTGGGTACATTGTTATAGTGTGAGGCAAGTTGTGACACACTGGGGTACATTGTAATAGTGTGAGACAATTTGTGACATTGGTACATTGTTACACATTGCATATTTCACGTGTTCCCAAGCCCCATAAACCTGCATTTTTATTTATTTATTTTGTTTATATTTTATTTTATTTATTTATTTATTTTATATTTTATTTATTTATTTATATATTTATTTATTTACTATTTTATACGGGGATTAGCCCACCCGGGCACAGGTCACTGACCCACATCGGGACCTGGGGGGTGAAAATGTAATAGTAGGCCTAACAATAATAAAAAATACAAAAATTAAAAAAGATCAATAGTGAGAAACAATATATGAATGTTGTGTTGTCAAAGTAAGAGAAACAATTGAGACCCTGCAATTGTGTGTAAATGAGGCAGAAAGTCAGATCAGCAACCTGGGACTTGGTCACAATTTTCGTGAGGCCATATGGCAGCAGGGTCTACCATTAGACAACACATTATGCTTCCAATATCTTCCCAGGCAGTAGTACCTCCCTGTTTGGTAGCTGCCTAATACCTACTACCTATGACTACTTTCTAATTAGATTTGTAAATGTATATTGTATATAAAAACCGGATAAGAGATATGAAAGATTAATACCTAAGACAAGAGGAAAACCAACATATAATTACTTATTTATCATACCATAATGTATTTCAAATATCCTAACGTCAGCTGCAGACAGTCAAAACTCAGGGAAGATGAACCCCAAATTTAAACAAAACCTGTTGCTTTAATTAATACAATACCGTCTGCCAGGAATAATAAACTACAATATTTCCTAATATCCTTTTAATATATTATACTGTACTTCATTCATGTTTATTGTCGTGAGCTGAAAGTGGCTGTGTTTTGCAGCAGACAAGTAATATATTTTTTGTTAATGTTGTCTTAGCTCTCATTCCCACATACATCCTTCTGAAGCTTCTCATCCCATACCTTCCATGATATAATTTCTGCCCTCATCTACCCCCACGTGTACTGTGATATCGGATGCAGAAAAATAAATAAGAGGAGTAACAGGTCACACCTCAAGGTCACGGATAAATATGTTAATATGTAATATTTATGTATATATGTAAATTGTAAAATTTTAAATAAAAGAAAAAGAGAACTACCCCGGTGTGCTATGTTGTACTACGTCATATTTCACATACACACACACACGCATACTATGATAAATACACGTAACAGTTAGTAATAAACACTAAGACATACATAAAGGTGTACACATAGGATGAACACGCACATAAATATAAACACACAAAAACAAACATACACAGTTAAAGACATATACATACATAAACACACAAGGACAATTGAACAATATACAGTACTACACAATACTGTACATTCACGATAAGTCTTTACATTAATTACTATATGCAATGTTTGCTTAATATACAGGGGGGGACTTAAACATAATGCAGCACCAGTACACCACAACAACACTCATTAGTATATTTATTTATTTATTTTACACACTAACACGTAGTAATAACTCCTGTCACCACGTAATGCCATTAATGGTATTTAAACTCGCCTGAGTACTGGAGATGAGTGGTGCGCCGTCTGGCAAGTGGGTGCGTGTAGTGAGTCTGGCGACTGACAAGGTAAACTTCAATGAAGGTAAACGAGGGTTGGCAACTTTCACCAGACCGGCAAGGACAACTTTGCCCACACACTCATGTATGACGTTTGATTTGGGTCAGGGTGGTTATGACCTAACCTAACTGTGGTCACAGCAAAACTCCACTTACCGCTCTCTCGAATCTAAGGAAAAACGTGTTGAAATATATGAAGCAGTGGCCCTTAGTGTTGAAATATATGAAGCAGTGGCCCTTAGTGTTGAAATATATGAAGCAGTGGCTTTTAGTGTTGAAATATATGAAGCAGTGGCCCTTAGTGTTGAAATATGTGAAACAGTGGCCCCCAGTGTTGAAATGTATGAAGCAGTGGCCCTTAGTGTTGAAATATATGAAGCAGTGGCTCTTAGTGTTGAAATATATGAAGCAGTGGCTCTTAGTGTTGAAATATATGAAGCAGTGGCTCTTAGTGTTGAAATATATGAAGCAGTGGCAGTGGCCCTTAGTGTTGAAATATATGAAGCAGTGGCCCTCAGTGTTGAAATATATGAAGCAGTGGCCCCCCAGTGTTGAAATATATGAAGCAAGTGTTGAAATGTATGAAGCAGTGGCCCTTAGTGTTGAAATATATGAAACAGTGGCCCCCAGTGTTGAAATGTATGAAGCAGTGGCCCCTGGTGTTGAAATATATGAGTGGCCAGAAGCAGTACTGGTGTTGAAATATATGAAGCAGTGGCCCCCTTTGTTGAAATATATGAAGCAGTGGCCCCCTGGTGTTGAAATGTATGAAGCAAGTGGCCCTTAGTGTTGAAATATATGAAGCAGTACAGTGTTGAAATGTATGAAGCAAGTGGCCCCAGTGTTGAAATATATGAAGCAGTGGCCCCCAGTGTTGAAATATATGAAACAGTGGCCCCCAGTGTTGAAATATATGAAGCAGTGGCCACCTGGTGTTGAAATATATGAAGCAGTGGCCCCCAGTGTTGAAATGTATGAAGCAGTGGCCCTTAGTGTTGAAATATATGAAGCAGTGGCCCCCAGTGTTGAAATATATGAAGCAGTGGCCCCCAGTGTTGAAATATATGAAACAGTGGCCCCCAGTGTTGAAATATATGAAGCAGTGGCCCCAGTGTTGAAATATATGAAGCAGTGGCCACCTGGTGTTGAAATGAGTGTAGGACAATAGCCCCCTAGGACAAATAATAATAATAATAATTTTTTTAATCATTATTTTTATTCTGGGACATGGCTAACTCCAGAAGGCGTTGTTCAATTGTGTAAATTTTTTCCATTGATTCTTGTATCATTATAGTAATTATTTTAAAAGAGGTGACATTTACTAGAACCAAATAGAACCTAACCTAACCTACCAAAGACATCTATCTACCTAACAGTACCTATCTTCCTAGCCAGCCAGCCAGCCCCCACCCACCCACCTCAGACCACCACCATATTAAACAGAAAGCTTTTTTTTTATGTCTGGTACTAATGAAAGCAACTTTGTTGAAGGGTCATTGTGTATAATTTTACTTTTTTTTTGTAAAATGTACGAAATAGAACAACTTGTGGTGTTAGCCATCTCCTCCTGTGTTACCTTTATTATTTACAGTTATGAACATTTCTCTGACATGTAAAATACTGTATTACATTTGAGGTGCTCCGCATTAGAAGTGGGTGAAGCCCCCAAATTCAAAAAGCTGAGAAAAATGCGTTAAAAGTTTTTTGAAGTTCAAACAACCATAACTTTTTTTGTTTTTTAAGCTAGAGGGTTCATTTATTTTTTTTTCGTGCAGCTCAATCCCTCTCCTAGCGAACTGTGAAAACTGGAAGTTAGTACTGTGAACAGTTATTATTTTATCGCGAGGTGAATGAGAATAATTACCCGTGATGTACAGTTGTTTGATCTTCAAACCAACAATAATTGCATTTTTCTGCAATTTTTTTCTTATTATTGTGGGCTAATACTGTAAAACAAGTTAATGATCACTATAAACAGCACTCCTCTTACACCCCCCAAAAAAAAAGAAAGAAATAATAATAAAAAACTCATTTGTCTATCATTATTTATCTTTCCATTCATATTATTAGCCAAAGATTTTTAATATTGTTAGGTATAATAGGGTGTAATAATAAAGAACACCACTACACTCACCCCCCTCCCCCCAACGTAATTAACATATGAATACAAAGGCGGAGAAAGTTTGCATAATTTTTGGTAAAAACAGTATTATGATAATAGTATGACAATCTTACTTTGTTTAGTTCCTTCTTTTTATTGTCCTTGAAGATCGTAGTAAGTTGAAGTTACGTAAATCCTGAGGAGTGCTTATAACTTTATTGGCCTCGTCATAATCATTCAGGTACTGATCAATGTCTTTCTCTGCCCTCTCTAAAAATCGCCACACAGATTCTTCATCAACTAATCATTGATAATTATTGATGCCAGCAACAGTTCAGTTTCATTATAAGACTGCGTTATGGACTCACTTTCACTGGCATTCGTTGGGTCAGGCTCACTATCACTGGCATTCCTTGGGTCAGGCTCACTTTCATCACTATCAAGGTCAATCATGTCTCGTCACTGTCTATTTCTACCTCCTCACAGTCTGTTTGTTCTTGTGATACATTAGCGTCACTGTTTGTGCTACCATTAGACTCACTTTCATCGTGATTATTGCCGTCAGTGCATGTCACGTAACTTTGTACAGGATCACAGTCTGCAAAAAGGTCGTGTGATGCATAGCAGTCACTCTTTGTATTATGAGTATACCCTGTACTCAGTTTCATCTACCCCGTATTTCAAACTCCCTCTTTCACCGTCATTATCATCATCAATGCGTGCCACATTGTCTTTTTAACTCGTCATAGTCGACAAAAAGATCTTTGAATGCTTTATAGCACGCGAAAAAGTTAATCTGTGCGTTCTAAGTGTTATTGTCATTATGATAATCACGTTCATTATGCTGTGAGTCATCTTCATTGTCGACAGGAAAGTCATCATAGTTTCTAAAAAGATCTTCCGATGGTTCATAAAGTGATGTGTTGTTTTTTTCTGTACTCACAGTGTTACTGTCATTAAGAGACTCACTTTCATCCTGTTGTGGCTCATTATCATCATCGTATTCTATGTCTGTTTCATCACTGTCTCATTGAGTTTGTACAAGCGGATGTCTCACAAACCTATGTTTTTCTACTTCCTCAGTTCTTTATGATTATTGAAGCAGCTCTCTGTGTAAGTGGGAATCTATCACTTTTGGAGTTGGTTGAGCTTTTTAAAGGAAACAGTTCATCCGTAATTCAATAAACTTTCTGTGACGTCAGAGTATTGTTTATTGTAAGAAGTATTTACAGACATGATCATTCATATATCAACAGTGAAGTGAAAGTGTCATATAGACTCTTGTTATAGGTGATTTCTGAATTATACTCAGTCACTCAGCCAGCCATAAATTCTTATACCCAGTAATTCTATGTTTCAGGTTATTGCTGTACTGTTCATCCATCTGTCAATCATAAAAAAAATTGAAAATTTTGTAAGAGTTAAAGTTTTCTCTATTCTAAATGGATACAAAGAAGAAAAGAACTGTGAAGATTGTAAAAGGCGGAGAAAGACACATTTTTGCTGATGTGGACACAGACATTAACAACAAACAAGAGCAAACTGGCCAGAAACTGGAGAAAACACAAAAAGGTCCAAAAGGTCAACCTGTTATACTGGAAAATACTCAGATGAAATGCATCCCTATTGGTCCAAAATTGAAACAAGAATTAAAGGCCATTGCCACCCAACAGAAAAATATTGCTTGTGAGAGGAAAGACAAGAGGAAGACTGTCAACACACAGCCAGCTTCTTTACCAGAGAGTGCTGAAGACATGTATGGAGCTCCGGAAATCCATTCTACTTTGCGTGTGGGCGAACGTTTGCTCAATGCCAGGGATCAAAAACCAAATTTATCAAGGCTTATAAAAAGCAAGTTAGACTCTCCCACTACTGCTTCCAGATTCAAGAAACAGGTGTAGTTGTGTAACTGTTATTCTCCTGATTGATTAGGTATGGCTACTTTTTAACGGAAAGTTTTGGGTACAGAAACTGTCTGATGCAGAGTCATGCAAAGGTTTTGTATTTGTTCATAGTATTAATGCACATCAAGTCATTACAGTGCAGTACTAGCATCATCAAAGGCCCATTATATCAGTGAGCAGGAAATTATAAGTCACCTCTATTGGTCTGTAAAGCCTTTAAACTTAGCTTTGGAATTAATCCTGAAATCCCATTTTATGAGCATAGCTGAGCAAATACTGTAGTCAGATTCCCACCCTCATATGAGGGTCAAGGAATAGAAGTGGGAAGGCCTGGGGCAAGTTGACGAAAGTGGGATGGCTAGAGGTATCTGTTTGTATGATGAGGGAGAAGTGGTGGTAATGAGTCAGGGATAACTATCATAGTCCATTGTACAGAAAGATTTTTTTTTTCCTAACCACTGAGGTGAAAACACCATGTGGTGAGCATTGTGGGACTTAGCACCATTTACAATAATTACACAACTATTCACTCTGCCTCAATTTTAAAATGGGATTTTGGGGATCAATTTTGTTTCTTAATATTTGGTATAACTAGTTTATTTTTTAACAGATATTGAATTTTTCCCAGACTGCAAAACAAGTTAACATAGAAGAATCAAGAGTGATATTCCAGGAACTTGTATCTGTTGATGTTAGTGAAGAAGCAGTAGCAACTCAGCTGAAAGATTCACTCACTTTAAGGTATTTCTCAGCATAATATCTTCAGTTAATACTATAGACTCTTTACTTCTGGAAATTATGATTTTTTTTTACCTCGTCCATTTATGTGAGTGTGTGTGTGTTGATAAATGGCTTATGTGTTTCATACTCACTCCATCATTTGTCACCCACATTTATTTGAATATTCATCAGTTATATTTCCCTTAATAATTGTAAATTCTGGATTATGATTGAGTAATATTCCCAGACTGAGGCTTGAAACTTTTCTTAATCCCAGAATGATTTAGGCTGCATTTACACCAAACGAGTCATGACTCGTCTCGACTCGCCATTGCAGTTCACATTAATTTGTGTGTATTTTTCCAGAAACCGTTCAGACCAGAAGAGTCAAATCGAGTCGAGTCATGTATACGGCTGGACCCATTATTTTCGTCAGTCACCACTCGTCTGCTGTGGTGTGAGCAGCATCATGTATATAATAAGAGGTTATTTTTTTTTTTATATAGTTACATACATACATCCTTTAATATACATATTGTTAATTCCCTAATCATAATATTACTATGCTAATTATTATGTAATTTACCATGTTAAAACATCTTTCATATATTTCCCCATTTGGCAATCTTCGCATGTAAAATCTTCTGAAAAATGTCGGTTTCCACCATTTTATGGAAACACATCATTTTCACTAGATACCTTAACCGGTTCCTTTTCTATCAAAATATCAATTGTTGTAGTGTCCAGTAAATGTGGCCAGTTGGCTGGATCACATAGATCTTCATCAGCATGACTGTTAGCATTGGTAGAACTGTCCATTTTAAAAGCCTTTGTATTTTTTCAGAACTCTCCTCTTCTTCATCTTGAATATGACCCACACTATCACCATCACATTCGCTCAGGTTCTTTTTTGCATTAGTTTTTGAAAACATATTTTTCTAGGGAACCTTTCATTTACATTTCAATTTCTTCTCTCTTCCTTTTCTCTGCACCCCAGATGTATTTTCTGTATCTGTCTCTATCCCTGCTGGTCATGGTATAATATAAAACTAAGGCTGTGTACGATAGTAAAATAATGTACATCAACAATTTCACAAAATACAAATCACGGACAACTGGAGATTCAGAGTTTGGACAACACTGACAGGTGACCGGTGTCAACGTCCTCACTCACCTTCGACAGGGAGCACAGTAAAGAATGACATTGTTCTCAGTCTGGGTGGTAAGATGGGGTGGCTTCATCTTACCTTTGACCTCATCTCAGCAGATTTACTGCCTAACTGTGCTGGTCACTAATCCTTCAGGTGGTCTCCTGAATCTGGGTGGTAAGGTGAGGTCAGCTTAACGCCGTCACTAATTCTGGTGTTGGGCGAGGTAAGGGCCGCGGGGCCCAAGGCGGTCGCACCGGTTGCCATACCCTAGGGACAGCTCTGCCTGTCAGTATTACTGGTATTTTTCAAATAAATTACAAAACTTACCTTAAAAATATGGCTATTCTTTCTTCAACTGCACACCCGTAGTTTGTGTCCATTTTCTTAACAGATGGTCCTGTCATGTCCACCAACTTATTGAAGTTTTCAGTTATCATCCTAAAGAAATTGTAGAATTTGTCTGAATAGTTCACCAAGTCTGGGAATAAATGACTAAAGGCCCAAAATCTGGTCTTTTGGTGTTGATTTCATGTATCCACAATCGGGTTCTCCTCCTCCTCCTACGGCGCCGAACCCACAATAGAGCATATTGTTCAGCGAGAGAATGTGTGTCCATACTGCTCAAAATCAGGCTGGGTACTGACAATTTAGTGACAAACCTGACTCATTTTGACTCTTTCGGTGTGAACGGAATGAGTCAATTTGGCTCGAGTCAAATGACTCTAATGAATCGACTCGACTCGGCTCGTTTGGTGTAAATGCAGCCTTACACACTCATGCATCAGAGTTTTTTGGTGAGGAACAATGAAAAACAGTCTTGTTCTCTTGTTTTTTATGCTCATTTTCATGATTTATAGCTCATTGTACATACAGGATGGTAGTTGCTAGTTTGATGAATATATGATACAGTACATTTAATAACTTGATATAGTGAGCAATTAACATATGTATTTATGGAGAAGTTTCTCAGTGAAATTAATTTCCCATACTGAACAAAAAATATCAGTAATCAAACACAAGATGACACTCGGCAGTGTTTTGAGAAATTGATTCATAAATGAAATTTTTTTCCATGGTAATGACTTTATTGAGGATTGATCACACTCGTGAAGCCCTAATAGTTTGATTAAGGTAAAGGAACATGTATTGAAATGAGCTTAGCCTAATAGTTTTATGATTTTTGGATCTGGCCTTAATTAATAATAATAATTGTAATGATAATAATTATCAAATCATTTAATTTAAGTAGCTGAGATTGAGCTTTTTATATGTACTCTACAGTGCATTGACTTTTTTCTTCTATTGAAGGGCAGCAGTAGTTCAGCCAGCATCCAGACCCCGGGATCCTGAACCGCAGCCATCAGATATCTTTGACCCTGAGGAATATGTGACCACGGCATCTGTGACCAACATAAAGGCTTACCGTCCATTTAGCAGTGTCAGACCACAAACTGTAAAGAGGGAAGAGTTCTGCCAGTTGTATAATCATCTATTGGAATTTTAGATAGATAGTTTTGGTCCTTTAATCTCCATGTACATGGAGCAGTATTTGGTACAGTATGATAATTCAGTTAAACTTACTTCATCCAGCAGTCATACATACATACTCACAAACTATTCTTCCCCCAAAAGTGGACGGTAACGAAGTAAATTAACTGTACTTTATTAGTGAGCTCAAATGACTATTCTAAATAAATTACTTAAAAGTAACTTTTCTTGTCAGTACTTTTGCCTGAGTAAAACTTCAGACAGTCTTCAGTGCTGTAGCTACAATATTCTTACTTATTTTTTCTGTCATCTTGTTATTTTATCACCGGTCTGCATGATTTTTCATGTTGTCTAACTAATATGTGTTCCCTAACCTGTTTTTAATGCAGAGGCGCCACTAGGGGACCTCACAGGAGCAGCGGTGCCCCCTAGGGAGCCCTCACAATGGCAGCGGCGTCCCTAAGGGGCCCTCACAATGGCAGCAGCGCCCCTAAGGGGCCCTCACAATGGCAGCAGCGCCTCCAGGGGCTCTTCCAAGGAACCTCTCAGGGGCGGTGGTAACCCCATGGGCAGTCCCAAGGGCGACAGTGCCACCAGGAGACCTCCCAGGGGCAGTGGTGCCTCCTGGGACCTTCCCAGGGGCTCTCCCAAGGGTGGCAGCATCCCCAGAGACCCTTCAAGGGGCGGGGGTGCCACCAAGGGCCCCCCCTGGGGTGGTGGTTATGCCAGGGGTTTCCCAGGGAACCCTCCCAAATGCAACGACGCCCCCATGGACTGCCAAGATGTAGAGGCACCACTTGGGGACCTCACAGGAGCAGCGGCGTCTCTACGGGGCCCTCCCAATGATGGCGGCGCCTCCAGGGGCTCTCCTTTGGGGCGGCGGAGCCCCCAGGGGCAGATGGAATGGAGACCCTACCTTCAAAACTCATGTCCATTGGGTTCATTTGTGAGAATGCTGGAGAGAAGAAGGGGTGTATATCTAAATGGGCATGGCAGGGATCATCATCATGTTAGACAGGTCAACCATGAAAATGTACGAACAAGGCCAGGAAGAGAAGACTATGGAGTCAAGGCAGATAACCATGTGTAAGGAGGTGTTGGTGGGGCATCAGCGGGCGGATGGACGAAAGAGGTTGACAGAAAGCATGATAAAAGCACGAGATGGTATGAAACTAACATTCAAGGTTGGGCATGGAATGACTGGTGTGGGTATTGTAGGAAGGATGACCGTAACCCATATAATTGTCCATTGAAGCCCCAAAGAGGGTCATGTTGGGAGTGCGTGAGGATGGGCTGTAGGAAGTATAAATCAACTTGTCCAGGACGTCAAGCTAGACAACCCCCCAGAACAAATGACAACAACCACCTACCCCAAATGGTTGTCCATGTATTAAATTACCTATATGTGGGCATACTGTACTTGTGTAGCATTGATTGATACAGGTAGTGAGGTCATTTTAATTAAATATAGTTTGGTGAAACCTTTGAATGTGGTACCCATTAATTCTTGTACCCAGAGATATTTAGCTATTACTGGGGATGAATTCAAAGCACAAGGCACAGTTCTTATCCCAGTACAGATATCCCCTATGAAAGGAATCAGTCACCAAGCCAATAGTGGTTGAAGACCGCCTGTTGGATACTGATGTACCTATTAGGGGCAGATATTTTAGGATTGGAGTTTGATGGCATCAAGAAAAGAATCAGTTTATTTGGGTAGTTCATTCACAGGTGTATTGGAAACCAAATAATGGAGAACACTTGCGGAAGGCAGTCAGGGTCAAAAGATTACAGTTCGATTCAGTTTTACCCTTTTCCAGGGAGTTGACAAGTCTACACATTGATAGGAAGACTATACGTAAGTGGTCACAGTTCTCAAATTAGGACAAATAAGGTAAAGGCAGAGCTAGGTCAGACTTTGAGTGTCAGGTTTATGCACAGGGGGTTGAAGCAATAACTTGATATGTGTGTGGTTATCCAAGATGATTCCTGTGTTTATGTTCCTATGAGTAATGTTTCAAAGCAGCCAATTTGTTTGAGTCCTGGTGCTGTTGTGGGTGAATATAAGGTGGTTAATGATGATGAGTTTTGTTATTTTGATGATAAAGGGAATAATCAAGGAACTATCTCACACATTTATGAAGAGTTAGGTAAGGTAAACCCATCTGTAGAAATACCAGTGTTCACCACATCACCTGGCTCTACAGAGATAGAAAGTGAAAAGAGATCTAACAAATTCCCATTAATTTTGACTCGTGAAGATAAGAGATCCCCAGTTCATTGTGTAAATTGTAGTGGAATTGAGAATTCCCCAGTCCAGAAAATCAGACAAATTGAAGATGTATTAAATTCTATGGTACCAGACTGTGATGTAGTGAAACGTGGAGAGGCTAGACAGAAGTTGAGGACCCAGCATTGGACACACTTGGATAGGAACATGCAAAAAGTTAAAACAGGTGGTAATAGATCATGATGCATTGTTTGTCTTAGGTCCAAAGGAAATAGTAAATACCAAGAAAATTTTCCTGGTACCTGTAATATTCCAGGGATGGGGGATGTTTATTCCGGGTTCAAGAGATAATGTAATGTGCAATTTCTGTAACTTCTGAGAATATTTTTCTGTTACCCGGAAAATTCTGAGGCCGAAGAATTTTTTTCCGACTTTGAGAGAGTCGTCTCATTAGCCCAGAAATCTCTCATTCCCGGAAGTGCTCTGCACCAATTGTTCCAGCTAACAGTGATATCACCGAGTACCTGTACAGATCTTAAAATGTTAACTATTAATTCCTTCTCTGATATAGAAGAGCATAAAACATTGTGCACTGTAACTGTGTCTGCAGACGAAGGCTTGAGGTACCCTAAATCTCACATCATTCTAACAAATTGCATCAAGCGTGTTGACAAAGGGGAAAAACACAAGTAAGGCATCCAGCAATGTCATTCACAAAGTTCATGAAGCTGCATCTCTACTTTATGCAAGATGCTACATGGGGGTGATTTGGTCACTGATGCAAAGTTTTGAACAACTGCCCTTTTGTAGACTTAATGGTGGCATTTTTCTAATGTTTTCAGATGATAGATATTCAATATTGCTACTGAACTAAACAGAAAGTGGGATGATCAATATTCACCAAGTACAGTACAGTACATTATTATGATTGGTGACATATTGACATAAATTATTGTTTGTTTATTAGTACATTAGTTTATTAGTAATTTTAAAGTTGCCCGCATTTTCACGACTGGGACAGGGAGCCATTCATTCTGGAGACAGTAATTTACTTTACCTGTATTGTAAATTTGTGTGTATATTAAAAAGATTGTAAGTTCGAATTCTCAAAAGATCGTACGCTATTTTTTTCTCAATTTCGAACTTATGATCTTTCTAATTCTCAAAAGATCGTAAGTATGTACTTTTCGGAAAAGTAGATTAAATACTTTTCGTGAAAGTAGTGTAGTGGATTTCTCCCCTACAAACGCTGTTTGTCGCTGTGTAGCCGACCCCACGAATTCCACAGTTATGCCTTAAAGGATTTTTGGCCAAAAATCCTTTTTCTCTCTGAACTAAAATTTAATGTGCCTAACTATTTAAGTACATGGCCAGTTACGCAGACCAATACATAAGCACTAAATGAATTTAAAACCAAGGGCGGGTAAATAGTATTTCGTAAAATTGATCCCAACCATCCTAAGCAGCACATTCAGGAGTACCTGAGACTAAATTTTGGAATAAAAATCCATTTTTGGCCGAAGGATAAAATTTTGTATGTTTTAATTTTAAGCAGGATTTTTGGCCAAAAATATTTCTTTCTCTGAATTAAAATTTAAATGTGCCTAACTATTTAAGTATTACAGAATACTACACAAGCACCAAGAAATGACCCTAGAAAACCCATAAGTGGGAAGTATAATTTAGCACTTGTAAAATGAATAAAATGACTAAAAATCATTTGAACATTTTCTAAAGCCATTTGAGCAAGAAAATAATCAAGATATCAAATTTCTGGTTAATGATCCTGCCATACATTCCAGGAGTAAATTTATACTGAAATTTTTGAATAAAACCTACTTTTAAATAGAATGTATAAAAATTGTAAGGTTACCTTGCATTTTACCAAAATACTTTTTCTCTCTGAACAAAAATTTAATAAAGCCTAAATATTTAAGTATACGAATAATACACAAGCACCAAATATTCTAAACCCATAAGGCATGGGTAATTAGTATTTGCAAAATTAATTAAAATATTCTAAAAACTTACTGAACATTTTCTAAGCTTCACTTGAACAAGTTGGCACCCACATATCAAACTTTGGTTACTAAGATCCCAAGCAGCACATTCAGGAGTACCACAACAAAATTTTGAACAAAATCCATTTTTAAATGAAAATGACAAAATTGTAAGGCTTACCTCTTACAGGATTTTTACAAAATACTTTTTCTCTCTGACCTAAAATTTAATGTGTGCCTAAATATTTAAGTACATGCAGAATAATACACAAGCACCAAGAAATGGTCTCTTGTTCCATAAGTGGCGAGTAATTAGCATTGCAAAAATTAATTAAAACATGCCTCTAAAATCATTTTGAACATTTTCTAAAAGCCAATACTTGAGTTATAATCAAGATATCAAATTTTGGTTAACAGATCCTACAGCAATATTCAGGAGTACCTATATACTGAAATTTTGAATAATCCATTTTTAAAAAATTGTAAGGCTTACCTCTTTACAGGATTTTTTGGCCAAAAATACTTTTTCTCTCTCTGACCTAAAATTTAATGTGCCCTAAATATTTAAGCACATGCAGAATAATGTACACAAGTACCAAGAAATAACTCGAAAACCCATGGCGAAAATTAGCATTGCAAAATTAATTAAAAATATTCTAAAATCATTTGAACATTTTCTAAAAGTTTGAAACGCTTATAATCAGGATATCAAATTTTAAGTTAATGGTGATCCGAAGCAGCACATTCAGGAGCAAATTTATACTGAAATTGAACAAAATCCATTTTTTGGCAAAATTAAAGGCCACCCCTGCGTGATATTTTCTGGCCAAAATCCTTTTTTCTCTGAACTAAAATTCTATCAAATGCCCAACTATTTAAAGTACATGCAGAATAATACACAAAGCACCCAAGAAATGATCTCGAAAAACCCATAAGTGGCGAAAGTAATTAGCATTGCAAAATTAATTAAATATTCTAAAAATCATTTGAACATTTTCTAAAAGCCATTTGAACAAGTTATAATCAAGATATCAAATTTTAAGCCAACGGCATCCGTTGTTAAATAATTCCAGGAAAGTACCATACTTGTACCTTGGTAACAAAATCCATTTTTTTGGCTGAAAATGACAAAAACAGTGTTTTACCTTTTACAGGATTTTTTGGCCAAAATACTTTTCCTGAACTAAAATTTAATGTACCTAACTATTTAAGTAATATCCGTGAATAAATGCCAAGCACCAAGAAAATGACCTCGAAAACCCATGTTAAGTGAAAGTAATTAGCATTGCAAAATTAATTTCAAAATATTCTAAAACATTTGAACATTTTCTAAAAAGCCATTTGAGCAAGTTATAATCAAGATATCAAATTCTGCTAACAGATCCTTACAGCACATTCAGGAAGTACCTTATACTGAATTTTGAACAAACCATTTGGCCGAAAAATGCTTGTAAAAATTGTAAGTGTTTACTCTCCTTAAGGATTTTGGCCAAAAATCCTTTTCTCTCTAAATCCAAAATTTAATGTGCCTAAATATTTAGCGGCCATGCAGAATAATACGCTGCACCAAGAAATGACCTCGAAAAACCTATATAAGTGTGGCGCAGTAATTAGCATTGTAAAAATTACTAAAAATATTCTTAAAAAATCATTTGAACATTTTCTAAAAAGCCATTTGAGCAAGTTATAACCAAGATATCAAATTTTGGCTAACAGATCCTTAAGCAGCACATTCAGGAGTACCTATACTGAAATTTTTGAACAAAATCCGGCCTTTTGGCCTTGAAATTACAAAAATTGTGCGCTTACCCTTACAGGATTTTTGGCCAAAATACTTTTCTCCTGACCTAAATTTAATTTTGCCTAAATATTTAAGCACATGCAGAATAAGCACACACCAAGAAATGACCTCTAAAAACCCACAAGTGTATGAGTAATTAGTGCATTGCAAAATTAATTAAATATTCTAAAAATCATTTTAAACATTTTCAAAAGCCATTTATGTTATAATCAAAGATATCAAATTTTTGGTTAACAGTGATCCTTAAGTATACATTCAGAAAGTACCTATACTGAAATTTTAACCAAAATCCATTTTTGGCCGAAAATGACAAAAATTGTAAGGCTTAATTTCTACAGGATTTTTTGGCCAAAAATCCTTTTTCTCTCTTGAACTAAATTAATAAAGCCTTAACTATTTAAGTACAAGCAGAATAATACACAAGCACCAAGAAATGACCTCGAAAACCCATAAGTGGCGCAGTAATTAGCATTGCAAAAATTAATTAAAATATTCTAAAAATCATTTGAACATTTTCTAAAAAAGCCACGGAATGCTATTATCAAGATATCAAATTTTGCTAACAGATCCTGAAGCAGCATTCCAGGAGTACCTATACTGAAATTCTTGAACAAAACTACTTTTTTGGCCGAAAATGACAAAAATTGTAAGGCTTGGCTCCCTTACAGGATTTTTTGGCCAAAAATCCTTTTCTCTGAACTAAAATTTAATGTGCCTAACTATTTAAGCACATGGCAGAATACTACACAAGCACCAAGAAATGACCTCGAAAACCTATAAGTGGCGAGTAATTAGCATTGCAAAATTAATTAAAATATTCTAAAAATCATTTGAACATTTTCTAAAAAGCCATTTTGAACAAGCAGAAATCAAGATATCAAATTTGGTTAACAGATCCTTAAGCAGCACATTCAGAGTACCTATACTGAAATTTTGAACAAAAATCCATTTTTTGGCCGAAAATGACAAAATTGTAAGGCTTACTCCTTACAGGATTTTGGCCAAAAATCCTTTTCTCTCTGAATCAAAATTTAATGTGCCTAAATTATTTAAGCACACATGCAGAATAATACACAAGCACCAAGAAATGACCTCGAAACCCATAAATGGCGAGTAATTAGCATTGCAAAATTAATTAAAATATTCTAAAAATCATTTTGAACATTTTCAAAAGCCATTTGAGCAAGTTATAATCAAGATATTTCAAATTTTGCTACGATCCTTAAGCAGCACATTCAGGAGTACCTATACTGAAATTTTGAACAAAATCATTTTGGGCCGAAAAATGACAAAATTAAAGGCTTACTCCCTACAGTGATTTTGGCCAAAAATACTTTTTCTCTCTGACTAAAATTTAATGTGCCTAAATATTTAAGTACAGAATAATACAATAAGCACCAAGAAATGACCCTGAAAACCCATAAGTGCGAAAGTAATTAGCATTGCAAAATTAATTAAAATATTCTAAAAATCATTTGAACATTTTCTCAAAAGCCATTTGAACAAGTTATAACTGGTGATATCACCATTAACAGATCCTGAAGCAGCACATTCAGGAGTACCTATACTGAAATTTTGAAATAAACTATTTTTGGCAAAAATTGTAAGGCTTACTCTCTTACAGGATTTTTGCCAAAATACTTTTTCTTTTCTCTGACCTAAAATTTAATGTGCCTAAATATTTAAGTACATGCAGAATAATACACACCAAGAAAATGACCTCGAAAAACCCATAAGTGGCGAAAGTACTCCAACATTGCAAAATTAATTTTCAAAATATTCTAAAAATCATTTGAACATTTTCTAAAGCTCATTTGAGCAAGTTATAATCAAGATATCAAATTTTGTTAACAGATTCTTACAGTACATTCAGGAGTACCAGTACTGAAATTCTTGAACAAAAAATCCATTTTTGGGCCGAAAATGACAAAAATTGTAGCGCTTACCTTTACAGGATTTTTGGCCAAAAAATCCTTTTTCTCTGACCTAAAATTTAATGTGCCAACTATTTAAGTACATGCAGAATAATACACAAGCACCAAGAAATAACCTCGAAAACCCATAAGTGGTGAGTAATTAGCATTGCAAAATACTCAAAATATCTTCTAAAATCATTTGAACATTTTCTAAAAGCCATTTGAGCAAAGTTATAATCAAGATATCAAATTTTGGTTAACAGATCCTTAAGAAAGCACATTCAGGAGAGTACCTATACTGAAATTTTGAACAAAATCCATTTTTGGCTGAAAATGACAAAAATTGTAAGGCTTACCCTTACAGTATTTTTTAATAAAAATACTTTTTCTCTGAACTA